AAGCGGAGACGTCTTCTGGGCCCTCCTCGAGCGAACCGCCATCAAAGGCCGTTCTGAAGGGGCGGCGGACATTCACCCCTCGAGGGGAGGTGATTGCAGAAGAGGTGCGTGCCCCGTCCACCGGTGGACATTCCACATACAACCTGCGCTCGCACAGTCTAAAGACAAGCAAGACGGCGAAGACCTAGAAGAAAAGCCTGACGATCTGGAGTACGACGATCACCCACGCCCCAAGCGACGTGCGATGCCCACTTCGATCTCAAACTTCAAGGCCCCCATCTCCACGCGTCCTGATGGTGACAAGAAGGTCGCTCGAAAAACGGCACAGCAGCTCATTCGTGAAATCGCACCGATCGATGTCTCGACCCCTCCTGATACTTCAAGATCCGCTCGCCCGCCGGCACCGTCAGGTACCGCCTTCATGAAGCCTGAGGGTGTCGATGCGCCTGTTCCACTACCCAGCAAACTCGTCAAGCGTGAAAGAGTGGAGTCCGCTGGTAGCGCGGAAGGGAAGAAGAAGAGGAAGAAGAAGAAGGATGCAGTCTCATAAGTGTCTCTTCTTACTCTCGACATTCCTGTGGCGTCTCCCCTTGTGGATTAGTTTTGTAGTGAATTCTGATGTCTTAATGAAGTTGCCGTGACCCCATAGTACGTCTTCAAGCTGCTCTATTCACTCGAATCTTGACTCGTGCTACGTCCATGTTCAGCGGGAAGTCTCGCTTCGACCTGGTTTCGTTGCAAACTTGAAACAGTGCTTATTGGTACGGATACAAAGGACGCGCGCCAGCCGGTATCAAGCCATTTTGTGAGTACACACGACATTTCCAAGATTCAGATGGCTAAAGAGCGGTCGATAGTGCCCATAACTCGCTACATTACTAGGACACTTTGCGCTGGCTAGGCTCAACTTAAACAAGCTCGCAGCCAACGCAAAGCTCAAGATAAATCAACGTTGGAGCTTGACTGCTCAATCCAGATGGCTCATTGCATCCACCGGGGTTCACCGCCAATCCTTCCTTGACGATAAGACCAGCATGCCCTTGCGCATCCGGAGAAGGTGGACCATCGAACCGGCTGCGGCCCTCGAAGCGTTTCCGCTATACTTATACGTGCTTCTCGCAGCGTCTCGCCCACGATCAGTGCCGTCGCAGCATGGCAGCCACTCCTCTGCAAAGTGGACGAAAGCCGTTCTACGTGCGCAAATGCCGGTTTATCGCTTCAGACCTGCACGCCACAGGTGCGTGAAACACGGGCTTGGGTCCGCGGCGCCTGCGCTGAGGCTCATCCTGCATTCAGTCGCGAACGCTGCTGGACCCTCTGACGGCTCGCCACGCCATGCTCTCTTGGGAGAGCTGAAGCCATGCCGCATTTGCCACTCCCGAGGCCCCCGGGTGCCCATCCACGATGGTCGCATCGACAAATGGGTCGCCCTCGTATATCCGTCCTCGACGCTCGCACTGATGCCAAGACCCCAGTCTAGAAGCTCCCTTGCTTTCCTTGACATCTCCTCACCATGCGCACCGTCAAGCACATCAGGCTCAGCGTCGGTGATAACACACACCCTTCCCGCCGCGCACGGAGACATCACACAAGAGCCCCCTGGTCCCCTTTCAGAGCCAGTGCACCATACATCGGACGTCGCTCCTGCCGCCCGGCTCCTTATCGAACGATCCCTGTGGCGTTCAGCCCTTGCTTCGAGCCTTGCACGCGTATGCGACGCTGTGGGCATCTCCCACACCTCGCCCCCTTCCACAGTCCGCCCGACAGCCCAGTGGAGCGCCGCTGCGTGCAACCGCGCTCAGCTATTGCTGGCGCGCGCGCGAACACCTCCGCCTGTGCGGCTCATCGTCCTCCCTCGCCTTCTCTTCTCTTCTCCCTCCACCCTTCGGCCCCGGACGGCGGCGCGACTCCCCCCGTACTTCACCCGCCGCGCACGTGGAGCGCCTCTGCACCCACCGCCCCCCTTCGCGCTCCCCGAGCCCCGGCGCCGACTCGGAGAGTCGGACGTCTTCCATGCCTCGCGCTCCTGCACGCCCGGAAACCTTGCAATCGTGCCCGCACGCGTCACCGGTCGCCCTCGGTGCCGTGGGAGTGCCCTCCCGGCGGGCACCCACGCACGACGCTGCCCGCGCACGAGCGGGACGGCGGGCGCCCGCGGAAGCCCGCTCGCCGCGCGTGCAGTGGGCCGGGGGAGGCACTTGCCCCCCTCAACGCCCGGAGGTGAACTAGGCCCTGTCTAGGTCCAGGTCCCTACCGCCCGCTCGGACGTCCGCGCAGAGACGATGCGGACCACGAAGCCACTCGCGCGGGCGGTCGTTCGCGCGCAGCGGCCTCCGCAGGCGCGAGGTGTCCCCGTGCCGCACGCATCTCGGACTCTCGGTGCAGCGCCTCACGCGTCGAGGCTACGGATGCCCTCTGAAACACGATCGCGCCGCGGACCGCTTACCGCTCAGCTAGGACGCTTCGAGGGGACACGTATCCGGCGGCAGCGCAGATTGGCGGGCGCGTTGAAGGGAGAGGCATGTGCTTGCGCGCGGCGGGGGCGGCTAGGCTTCTTATGGATATTTAACCACCACCGTAACCCAACCCTCACCGCCGTCGTTGTGGCGGCACTTGCACGCCAGTTCCAGCTGAATCCGCAAGGCGAATATTCATCAACGTTGGTGGTGCATCCGTGCCGCACCGAATTTTCGTCGGTGTTTTCCGTCATTTATGGATTACGGCGCTGAGGCCGCCGGCGTCACGTCTCCACGGCGCTGCGCGTCCGTGCCTCCATCTCTCTGACCCTGGCAACCCGCTCTTCTCGGTGAGCCCCGCGTCCCCAAACCACGACATGGATCAGGAAGCAGGTTGCAAAAAACATCATCCAGCCTCGACCGCGACGTCTTCGCCCTGACCTCCAGCATCCCCCCACGCCGCTAACCACGGACAGACACAAGTGCCCAGCCGCCCGCTTTAGCACGTAGCATGCACGCACGTCTCCTGCCCATGATCCGCGGACAAAGCCACCAGCGGCCGCGGCCGCCACCACCGACCGACTTCTACTATGTGCGCACCAAACTAGAGACACTGTACATGCTGCCGGCGGCCGTCAGGCTCGGACCATCCCCGTCCGGGCCCGCCAGGGTCTCGTAAACGTCGGTCGTACCGCCTCCGGGCTAGTGCAAGCCCCTCCCTCCTCCCCGTCGACCGGCCACTACTCCCAGCTCACTTACGGCAGCCCGGTCGACCGCGTCAGCCGCCGCGTCACGGGAGCGCGCACAAACGCCCCCCGCGCACCGGGGGCGCGCAGGGTGCGGTGGAGGTCCGCGTCGGCAGCGGCAGCCGCTGCTGCCGTCTAGGGCACCCGTACCGCCCATCGCAACGCTGCACGCCGCACATCACGCGCAAAAGAAGTGGTTCGTTCCGCAACGAGCGAGTCGGCGATAGACCGCGGCAGATGTGCACGTAGTACATACGCGCCACGAACATGGGGTCATTTGTCCGCTGCGCGTGTGCGAGCCACGGATCTGTTGTTCGCGTTCCGGGCGTCGGAACGACGACGCTGCACGTACGCCTTGAGGCTCCCTGCGAGCGCGCCCATGGCTCCCGCGCGCGTCGAGTTCGTGCTTGCGTGCATCTCCTCGTCGTCCTTTAGGCCTGAGGCCTGAGGCTTGTGCATCCCGCTCCGGACCCGGGCTCGGACTCGGGCTCGGGCTCGGAATCGGAATCGGGGAACCTCAGAGGCGCAGGGCGGCCGTTTGAATCAATGCAGAGAGCTTCGCGGGCCGCATTCGTCACCCGTAGCACCCCAGCCCTGTACGCACGAGCTGATCGCGATCCACACTCTGGAGGGTACGCACTAGCTGGCGAGGACACGACGTCTGCCGCGAATGTCTGGCACAGGACCGCGCGGCTCGCCCCATAATCGCCCACTGTCCTCCACAAGCACGCTCCCCCCGCCTTTGATGGGCGCCTCGGGTTTGCCTCGGGTTCGGGTTCGATGGACTCGGACGCGCCTTGGTCCGAAGCCGAGTCGGCATCGCAGCCGCGAAGGGCGAGCAGCAGCACCGACGCGACGCGAGGCCTTGATTGCTTCTACTGCAGTCTGCCAGCGGCCATCGCTCGCCAGAAGTCCGCAGCCCACCATGACGGGCATCAATTCCCCGCGCCCAACGGAGCTTCGCGGGTCGTCCGGGCCGCAGGTCCGAACGTCCCGGCCTCAAGCGTGGTGGGGCCAACGCGGGCTGATCTGGGTGTCCGCGGAAGTGTGGCGACGAACGGGACATCCAGCCCTCGAGCGTGAAGGTGGACCCGCTTCGGGTGACGTGGAAAATGGGGCCGGGGCTAGCGGGGTTAGGTTCCTGGTGTCAGACTCCCGCGAGGCCTCGGGCCTTGAGGCTAGCACTAGTGCCAAGTGGCCGTCCGTCGCACAAGTGCTCAGGCCGCCTGCACCGCTGCGTCCAAGCTGATGCTGCTTCGAAGACGTAGGGAAAGAAGCCGCCTGAGCACGAGCTCGGTCTCGGTCTCCGCGGAGCTGCCAGAAGCACGAAACCCGGCGCAGCACGGTGGGCCTGGGTGCTGGTCGGGCGACGGGCGTGTGTGCATACTATGTGATGCATGATGGCCCGACGGCGGACGGGTGGTAGGTCGGAGGCGCCGTGCCGTACTATCGTGTCGCGTCGTGGTGGCGTGTCGTAACCGCAGTGAAAGACGAATGGGAAGAGGGCGAGGAGCAGGAGATAGCAGCGTGCGCGTACGCCTGTCGGCGTGCTGTTTTCAACGCTGTCGAATCTGTCGTGCGCAGGGTCTTTCCAGCCTGATGTGTCCGTCGAACATGATCGGGTGAATTGTCGCGTCGTTCGTACGTCGTCCACATGTGTACAACCACCCGTCACGCCAACAGACGATCAACGTCCGGGCGACCGACGCAAGGGCGCGCGCACCTGAACCTTCGTTGACCGCAGGCGTATTACGAAGGGCAAATTGAACAATGCGGGTAAACATCCCGAGACACGCCTCTAGCCTCCAGGAAAGCGCGCGGGCACGGAGGCGTCTTGCATCGCCTCGGCTGCTTCGTATGCGGATTCCTCCGTGGGCGGCGTCTCGAGGGCAGGGCGGACGCCAGCTCGCACAAACACGTTGAAATCTGCAAGGGGGACATAAGACTCCCGCACGACCCACTGCAGCATTGACAAAAACACACGCACCCTCTCCCACGCAGGCAAGTCCGCGCCGGCGGCCCTGCATCTGCGCTTGGCGCCCCGAGGACTCGCACGAAGCGCGAAGCGTTTGATGGGCATGCTACGAAACGCCCGCCTACGGTTCAAAGGTTCGATGGCCGGCAGGCTCCTGGCTGGCTGCCGCCTGGGGCTCCGAGAGCTTGACAATGAGGGGGGGAGGCGGCGCGCGGAATCTGATCCCGCACGACGTCGATCCGCCCGCCCGGAGCTCCCGTCCTTCGAATTTGAGGCCTTCCACGGTCCACCACGGACCTCAGCGGCGAGCGCGAGCCCCCGTCCAACGGTGTCCCCGGGGTGAGGCCTTGAGGGTGCTCGCGGGGCCTACGTAGTGCGCGTCCGCTCCTTTGGACCGGCTTGACCTTTCGCGTGCATCTCTCGGGGTGCGGCGGATGCGAAGCATGTACATGCGGACCCACGCCGGCGTCGCGAGGGGTTGACACCGACAGCCACTGGTCACTGGTCGGACGGCGCGGGGACGCGCAGGTCGCTAGGGCCGCGGGGACGTCGAGGACAAGGCGGCCGCCGTCGGTGGCACCTCCTGTCAGCGGAGGGATTGTTGATCACCGGGCTGGGCGGAACGCGAGCGCCGCGCGGCCCTCCCGCGGTGACCCCATCGCGAGGACGGTGCCGGCACCGCGCTTGGGATCCTTGTTTTCATGGCCTTCTGGCTTGAGGAAGAGAACGGAGCGGCCGGGTATGTGAGGTGATGCACGATGAGCGATGGCTGCGAAGCCTTCACGTTATACGGGGACGAGGATGACGAGAGGAGCGTTCTAGCGCGGCGCGGAAGAGCCCTTTCATCCGCGGAGGGTGTGGGCGGATATTGAGGGGACGTCCGAGGTGGGGGAGGCGCGTAGGGACTTGGTTTCTGAAGAGACCGTGTGTGCAGACGACCGGCGACGTCGATGGTGTTCAAGCGGAGTGACCAGTCGAGGGAGACCACGGCCGTATTTGGTGCGAATCGCCGGAGCAGCGCCTCGAGAGCTCGAAGCACGTGTCCGTGGGGGCTCGGAAATGCGTGAGGATAAGATGGCTGACGTGGGCCGCAGGGGCGCTGTCGATCAGCTCCAGGCGCCGGGCGGCCAGGGGCAATAATTATTGCTGTTTAAGTTCACTTTGAGTTCCCCGCGGCGCGATCCGGCCGCGATCACCCACGTCCTGTGCCCGCGCACGCGCTCTCACCAGGTCTCTGCCATATCGCGCCGCCTCTCGCGCAGAGGCGCACCTCCGCCCACGCTTCTCCAGACGGCTCGCCACGGCGCTGCCCCCACGGACGTCTCGCGTACGTACGCGCCTTCTCTAGGCGCGCGCCGGCGTCCATGCATGCGTGCTCGAGTGCGCCTCAGCTTCACTTCCGCGTCGGGGGGCGGGCGGGCGTACGTGCACAGCCCGTGCAGGGACGGCGTCGGCGGACATGTCGTCGACCAGCGTTCTGCCGTTCGGCCATCCAAAGCCCCCGGCGCCATGAAGCGCGGCGAGTAAACGGGTGTGCACGCAGGCTCGATCATCCGTCATCTGCGTACGCGCGCGCACTAGCTCGGGTGCGGCGGCGCACCTGGGCCCAGAAGCGCGGCGGGAGACGCCGTCGTGCAGCGCTCAGCGCTCAGCGCTCAGCGTTCAACCGTTCAACGTTCAGCCACAGCCGTCCGCGACTCCGCGGCGCGCGCGAGGGGCGAGTGCGGCGGTCGGCGGGGGGTGCGCGGCGCCGTGGCTCGCGACGATGAACGCTTCTCCCGACGTGAACGCGGACGTGGTGACCACCGGCGCGCTCGGCGACCAAACGCGACTCGCGCGTGCCCAGAGAGCGTGCACGCCGGGGAGCTGTCGCGTGATTGAAGCCATTCCAGACCGCGTCTACGAGAAGGGGCGCCCGCCTGGAACAAGGAGAAGAAGAAGGAACGAGGCACCGCGACGTCGACGCCCTTCGTTCGCCCGCGGCCTTCCTCGATCGAGGACGCCGGCTGAGAGCGCTTAACACATCGCAGCTCCACCGCTGCCAACATTTGCTCGTGCGCGCGGCCACATCGCCCGGACTCCGCCGTTGACGTCCTCCTCCGCCCTCCGCCTTCCGCCCTCCGACCCCAGAAAGGCATCCGATCCTCCCAGACGACGCGGACAGATCCCTCCGAGCCCAGGGCATCGCCGGGAAGCCCACCGACGTGCGACACGCGAACGCCCACGTCCGCCAACGTCGTCGCGCGTCGCGCGGCCGAGCAGCGGCGGTGCCGACGCGCGCCCGATCCCGCGCGCACCGGGCGGGCGGACCAAGGCGGGGGCGTTGGAACACCGGGCTCGACATCGACGGCGACGACGTCAGACCCCTGCGCGGTGCGCACGCCGCGGCCAAAGCGTACGACGCACGACCGCCCTCCGAGTGCGCCTTCTCGTTCTCATCCGCGTGCGGTCCCGCGCCCGCGCCCGAACGTCTTCTCGGAGTCAGAGCGCAGCATCTGTCCGCTGTCCCCGCGGGCGGCGGCTCTACAGAACAGACGCGTCGCCGACCAGGGACGCCGACGCCGACGACTTTGAACTCTCGTCTTCCTCTCAAGTTTCCGCCCCACGTCAGTGCCGCCGCGCCCGCACGTACGGCACGCTGCCGTATGTCGCCGCGACGGGCGCGGACGGGCGCGCGGGCGCGGTCGCGCGGTGTGGGAGGTCCGTCTGCTCGCAAGCACAGACGTCTCGACGCAGATGATCAACAGCCTTACACAGGTGTCGAGTGCCCACGGCCCCACGCGGGGGCGTACGTATATGAGATCACAACAACTGCAGGGGCTTGACAATGAACGCACGCAACGGCATTAGAAGCCCCGCTGCCCGCCCCACGTCGACCGCGACATCGTGCTGTCGGCATGCAGCGCTGCCACCATCTCTCTCAGCTCTCGCTCTCGTGAGCGCGCAGGGGCATTAGAGCTGTTTGGAAATGCACTATAGTGCACGAACCTGACGCCACTTCGGTGTCTCCACCGCTCCACGGCATGTCGGCCCGCTGGCCAAATACCCGCCAACAGTCGCATGGAGCAAGGACTCCAATGCGCCAACTCACGATTACTACGGCGCACTATCGTAACTTTCCAAACAGCTCTATTCTCCAGAGGCGGCCCGTGGCGAGGCTCGAAAAATCTCCTCGAGTCCCGGACCCATCTTCAGCAAGATACCAGAACCGACGGTACACAACCCCAGGCCCGGTCCGTCCCTGTCCACCCCGGCGACAAGGGGCACGGCATGATGGCGTCGAACACAAGCACTTCGACCACGATAGCGCGCTGATGAGACCGTGCCCCATCTCGATCTCAACCACGCCCGACGCCGGCCGGCACCCGCCGCAGATCCCCAGCCAGAAGCCCCCGAGCGCAGCGCGACCGCATGGCCAGGCTGCGCGGCCGATCGAGAGGGATCACCAACACCCCAGCCGCGCCTTCCGCTCCATGGGGCCGGCTGCTGCTGGTGTCGGGTCGGCGACGTCGCGCGGGAGCATCACCGCCGGCGCGGGCCTAGCCACGGGCTAGCGTGCGACCGCGGTGGACCACGGTGGTGCGGGCGCATGTGCGCTCGGAGCGCCGCGCTCGGTACGTGGTACGCGCACCAGTGGAGGCGCGTTCGGTGCGCCCTACCCTTGCGTTCTCCCGCGTTCTGACCACCCTCAGCAGCCAGGCACTCCCGTGCGTCCGGGCTCCCAACGCCCGGCTACCGCTTCTGCTTCTGCTCAAGTGCGCACCCACGCGCATCTGGGCTTCGCAGGGGCGGGCGGCGCTAGCTGGATATGTCGCGTGCGGCGAAACAGGCTCGGGAAATCGACCTCCCAGACCCCAGAGTTCCTCCGGGCCGCACGCGGCGCACCTACCAGGCAGAGGCAGACCTCCCAAGTGGCTACATTTAAACTCGCGCGCCCGCACGTACTGCGACCCCCGTCTCGCATGACGAGTCCGTTCTAGGTACATACGCTCGAACGGGGCAGCACTGGCTTACCTACTTGCACCGGCCAGCCCCGGGCCGGCCCGGTGCGCCTCGTCCCGACCGTGCCTGGAGCAATATTGCGCCATCACCGATCCGCGCGCGAGAAGCTCGCGGGCCAGGGCCGCAGAGGCCTCCTCGACGACGACGCCGACGCCGGCGCCGCGGGGTTCGAACGGTTTGAACCCTCGACCTCGACGCGAGCCCGGGTGCGCGTGAAAGATGGCAACGCGAGGGTGGGCCGCGATGCGTGTGTGTGATCTGTTCACGAGTGCAAGGTCGGAGCGCACGCACAGCGGTTCCTTCTGTCCCGTCTTTATAAACATAAAATGGTAGGCCAGGAACCGAGAGCCACTGCGAACGTGAGCGCCAGTCAGAGACCGCTGACTTGTTTCTGCAAAGCGGGGCAAATGATTGAATACCAAAACGCGCCAGGCGACGGATCGGCGATCCTCCCGACCCATGTGTCCCGCCGGCCTGCACCAGCCTGCACCAGGGGCAGATGTGCGCACCTCAATTGATGCCGGCGCGCACGCGAGCCTACGCGAGCGGAGGCGGAGCGCGACAACGCGGTCGTTGTGTCGGTCAGGACCGTTCCGAGCTCAGAAGAGCTGCAAAAGGTTGAGGCGCGTCCAGAGTGACTGAGTCCGACACCGTTGCGAGTGCGGTTGGCGGATCCGAATCCCCTCACCGCGCCAAGGCCGAGAAAGCCGAGGTCTGTTCGAACTCGGTGCGCATGGAGATCGAGGTCGAGGAAGTCGGCCGGGTCGGAACGTGCACGCAGCCTGCAAGGAAGAGCCAAACCGAAACGCAGCACGTCAGAAGCTGTGCCGCGCGGTGTCGCGTCCGGATCAGGCAGTCGCTGTTTTCGGGGAGGCGCCCACGCCCCGCAGCCGGCGTGCCTCCTGGGCTCTCCTCGCCTCGATCTACCACCCGCACAGCACGCGCGCATCGACGTCCGTGCGCGCAAGTGCCCCACTGGAGGAGACGGCGCGATGAAGATGCAGCGCAGCGGACGCACGTCGTCCGCGCCGAGCACCGAACAGAAGCCTCTCCCGCCCGTCGGCGCTCATCGCCCCGGCGAAGCAGCCGTCGACGGCCGCGCCCCCCCCCCCCCCCCCCCGAGGGCCGAGGGGAGCACCGGCAACCGAGAAAGGCGGGGATCGTGGCGCGGTGGCGCGCCTCGTCTTACGCCGTGGCGGCGCACGCGACCGAAACGGCTACATTCACGTGTCCGAACGGGCAGCCCAAAGCACCAAAGCACGCACGCGCCGCCGGGCGGCGTGGGCGCGGATCGTCGACCGTCCTCCGTGCGTGTGTGCGGCGGCGGCGGCTCTGAGCACAGCCGGGCCAGGGTGTGCGGTTCGGGACAGATGAAAGTTGATGGCTGCACGCGCAAACGGGACGTTGCGGTATTGATGCCCCGGGCCGCACCTGGAAGCTCGGTGTTAGCGCTCGGGTGTGGGCCGCCGCGAAGGGCATCGATCAAGCTAAACACGGCGGAGAAGGCGCGGGGGATCAGGGCGGCAAGTCCGGACGCACAAGTCCGTCCATGGGGAGCGGAAATGCACCCAACTCGGAGCGCCCGTCGCCCGAGCTCCGTCTCCGTGCGCACTTGTCCGCTCGAGCAGCCGCCTATGCCTACGGTGCGTGCGGCCGGACCCTGAACTGGGCGCGCGTGAGGCATGTATCTGGATAGGTCATGTGCGTGCGCCGCCGCCGCCGCACTCGGCGGGCGCAAACGAACGGCGACGTCGGCGTCGGGGAGCGCACGGCTGGGCGTGGTTCGGAGAAAGGGAGCGGGGAGCGTTCCGTCCGAAGCGCATGCTGATCACGATCGAGACCGTCCATGCAGCACCAGCCTAGGACAGAGCAGGCCTAAGGCCAAAGGACGCGGGCCGGAGATGGGGGTCCTGATTGCGCGCGGGTGCACCGAGCTGCAGCTCGTCCGCGGCGGGCTGCGTCACGCACGCGCCGCTGCGGCGTGGCCAGTGCACAACGGACGTGCGGGCTGACGGCGCGTGCGCAGGACGCATCGGATGGGCGATAGAGATCGCGCGCGGACGCGGGTGCCTGTACATCGGAGCGGAGGCCTGGCAGAAGCAGCAGATGGTCGTGGCCGCACTGGTCCTCGCCGCGCGCGTTCGAAGGCACGGGGACGCCTGGATATCTGGAAAGCGGATAGCGTCGAAGGACAGAAGACACGGACGTGGACGCGCGCGCGCGTCATCGATCGGAAGCCGGCCCACCCGCAGCCTGCAGGCCCCAGCGCGCGGCCGCATCCGGGCGCCCGTGCAGGGCCAAGCTTCGAGTTTCTAGGTTCCGAGTACTTGTGTCTGCGCTTTCGAGTGTGCGTCGTATGTGCGAGGCGTCGGGATGTCGTCGAAGCGAGCTCAATCAAGTACTCACCGGCACCTCTCGCACGTGCGTTCTACCCACACCCAACGTTCAAGCCAAACGCGACGCCGCACCACACACGCAGCGCACCCCCCGAGGCACCCCGGTCGCTTCACATCCCGCGCGCACGGCGACGGCCGAGCGGAAGGCCTCGCGAAGCCCGAAGCCCCCCGGAGCTGTCGAGGCGGGAGCGGAGGCACGAGTCGGGCGCAGAGCGCGGCACAGGGCTTCTGGGTCTGCGTCGCGCTCTTCTGGCGGTGGCTCGCCGCCTCGCGTCTGCAAGGTCCGACGGCCAGCGCCGCCCCCCTTGGGACTCGGGGGACCGCGCTCGAGTCGGCCTCGCGCGGGCTCGGGGTGCATATGTACATGTATGCCGACCTGCGTCCCGCGGGCGCGCGAGAAGCACTTGGGCGAAGGCGGCGACCCGCATAGACGCCGGGCGGGACGCGATCGCGCGCGCGCGCGCGCAGCCTCCCGACCGCAGCGGTCTCGCTTCCCGTCGAGGACGTTGGAACTTGGACACGCGGCGCTCGGCCGGTGACAGATGGGGGAAGGCGCGCGGCGCGCTGAGCGAAACTGTCAAAGCGTGGGCGCTGGTGCCGTACCGCGTTCCGCCCGAGTCCGAACCAGGCGCCGTCACTAGACCATGTACGTCGGTGATTTGCGCGTGGAAGGGGCGGAGACGATTTCGGCGGCGGTGTACATGTGTTCGATGCTCGATGAGCGGATGGCGGGATCCCGAGACTGGTGAGACGAGGTGAGGCGAGCCGGGTGACACTGGCACTTACTGGCAGTCCTGGCAGGCTCGGGACGTTGACGTTGCCGACTCCCGTGGACGGAGGGAGTCTCGGGCAGGTCTGCTCTGCGCCTGCGATCATTATCGCGATGCACAGGCGCAGGCGCAGGCCCGCGTCAGCAGGTACGTCAGTAGGGCGGCCACACAGTCCACGATAATAGATCCTAATTAAGCACTATCAAGCACCGCGGTCGCACCGTCCGAGTCCACAACGCCTCGCAGCGCAAGCGCGCAATCGAGCAAGCCCGGACGGACGCCGGGGCGTCAGCGTTTGGCGTGCTAGAGCCAGGTACTTACGTACTAGCCCACGGCGCATCGCGACAGTGCGGCTGCGGTCGAGCAGCCCGCCCGGCCCTCCCTGGCTCTGAAGACGTACGTGCACGCTCTCCCGTGCTTCAAGCGCGCGCTAGCCCTCCTCCGTCCATCCCCGCGAGCCTCGTGGCGGCGGCGAACTCGCAAAGCGCATGGCGGCGGGCGACGACTTCGTCGAGGAAGCGGCGGGACCGCGACAGCAGATGTACGGCGCATGAGAGTAGTGCCCGCCGCGAACCCCCGCCCCAGTTCGAACCTCTCGCCTTGCTGTTGGCCAGGCCCGGCCACAGACGTCTGGCGGTGAGTGGACGGATGACGCGCGGGGCGCTCGATGGAGAAGCGGTCGCGGAGCCTGGGAGGCAGATCTCGCTCGCGCGTGCAGGGCCGTCGGACGCCGCCGTCGACGGCGTGACCGGTCATGTGCGCACGGGGGTGCGCCTTGAGGCTCGGGTGTCGCAGTCGCCACGGCGATGCTCGCAAAGAGGTGCGCGGCCACCACGCCGTCTCCAGTCGGGACGTCCGCGTTCGGTCCAGCGGCGGGGCTCTGGAAGGTGCGCACGCCGCCGCGGAGCTCGGCAGCTGCGGGGCGTGCGCACTGTGGGTGGGGCAGCTGTGGTGGCCAGCGGCCGGGTTCCAGTGGCCACGGTCGTTCGCTAAGCGGCGCGTCGCAGTAGCACCGAGTTACGCGGACGAGACGGGCCGTGGGTGCGGTGCGGTGCGGTGCGTGCGAGGACGAGCGGGTTCAACATCGACATCGGTGCAGGCGCATCGATATCTGTGACGCGTCGCGCGTGCGCAGCGCTAGGTCAGCGGAGCCCGGTGCTTCGCCTGCACCCAGTGCGAGATCGCAGACTCGAAGACGCACGCCTGACAGGATCCACCCCACGGGGCACCGCCGGGTGATGGTAGATGACGGAGCGCACCGCGCGCGCGGTGGCACCGGTCGCGGGCGAAGAGTCCGGGACGTAATGCGCAAAGGCCCGCGAGCTTGCGAACCGCGGCCCTGAGCGCGCGAAGGACGTTCGACTTGGAGCGCGCGAGCTCTCTGACTTGACTTGGACCTCGCGCGCGTGGGCGGCGAATGTGTACGTGACGGCGGGAGGCGGCGTTGGTGGCAGTCGCAGTTGCGAGCACCGGCGGCGGCTCCCTCGAGGCGGACCGCCGGGGGCGCGGGCGCGGCGCGGTGTCGTGAATTCTGTCGTACGTCGACGGGCGGCCCGCGCGGGGGTCGAGGCGGGCCATCGCCGCGTGTCCGACGTCGGCGCGCAGCTCGTCTGACGGCGTCTGGGGGAGTGGACCTCCCCGGGAAGGGAGCAGGCGCGGGGAGAGCCATGCTCTCCGAACTACGGCATCTGCTCGTCGCGGCGGATTGCCGGCTACCCGCTCACTTCTCTCCCACTCCTCCTCCATCCCCCACGGCTCTGGCTCGAGCCGTGCCGGGTCCACTCCCCTTCCGTCGCTGGTACCGGTTCCGACTGCTACGACCCCCCACCTACCCTATCTCCCCCTATGCCTATTCCTATGTTCCGTTCTATGCTCTAAGCGCGGCCGCCCGCTGGGCCTGCACCCGCCACACACTAGCCTAGGCCGTGGCCCCGTTATAGTTTACCGAATGCGGGATACTCGCCGTCGTGGAGACAGATCGTACTTAGCTTTACGAAGATACTAAACGCTCTGGCATGAATACATCATCATCATCATCAGCGGGGAGAGCCATGGACGGAGCCGGGGCGTGGGCGGGGAAGGTGGGCGGCGGAGAAGAGGAGGAGATGTGCGTGGCGCGGGGCGAACGTTATCGGGCACACCGTCGACGGCCGTCATCTGCGGCCCGGAAAGACGCAAGGGTCGCCAAGTGCAGGGCCGGGCTTCACGCTTACGGCACAAGACGCCCCCCGCCCGATATGGCAGGCTGAGGAGGCGGACGCGGACCGGCGCCTCGGCCGTCAGGGAGGGCAACGAGCGCCGGCGTCGCGAGAATCCACGATCTGAGCGAAGAAAGATGCCGGCTTCCGGCGCTCGACCCGTCCACCGCTCCCCTTCCCGCTTCTCGCTCTTTGTCACTTCGCGCACCGCCCGCCACTTGTCTCACCTGCATATATACCCCCTCCTCGTCCCCCCACGCTCTTCCCTCTCCCCATCCGCTCTCCCCCGTCCTCCCCCTCATGTCGGCCACCACTACCGCCACCTACCACCTTCGCCCGGTGACGGCCACCCGCTCTGCCTCCCCCTCCACCTCCACCTCCACCGCCAGCGATCGCAGCCCCCCTCCTCTCGGCGCCCACCGCCCACCTTCCAAGTCTATGCTCCCACCATCCACTCACGCCTTCTCCCCCATCCCAACCTCGGCCCATCCACGCCGCCCTCTCTCGCCGTCCTCGCTCCGTGGTAAGTCTTGCAGCCACTTATTATCGCGCATTGCACCGACCGCTCTTGTAGACGTCGACGTCCCTCTTGACCCTGCTCAGGCCTTCGCCGCCCGCGGAAATTCCCCGCGCCGCCCACCGGACATGACCTCATGGCCATGTTCCCTCCGAAGCCGCCCATGTTCCCCCACTTCCCCACCAGCAACTACTTCGACAAGGAGGAGCGCGCCTTCTTCAACAAAGCCGGTCCGGAGATCATCCGCTTCCGCCTCGACGCTGCCCCCGCAGCACTTCCCGGCGCCGTCGGCGGCGGCTTTCCCTCACCTCTTCCTGGTCCCGGTGTTGCGGCCGCGAGCCCGCACGTGCACTCGCGCGAGCGGTCGCGCGCGTCGTCCCAGGTCCGCGGACACCACGATCGCGCGACGCTCCCTCCACCGCCATCAGCCGTAGCCCCGCTTGCGCCTTCCCCGCGCTCGATGGGCCCCCCCAACGGCGGCTTCCCGCCTGTGCCCAGTCCGACCGGTATGCACGCCGGCCCTGGCATCCCTGGTCCCGGCTACCCCACGCAGAGGCCCCCCGAGCACGAACGGGCCCCCGTGGGAGGTGGGGCGGAGTCGATGGTGGTCGATGATGAGGACGACGAGGCTTGGAAGCGGCCGATTCCCCACCACGCCCGGCGGCGCGCAGGGAAGCACACGCGCCGAGTGATCGCCAACAAGTAGGCGGAGATGGAGATGGATTCATGCGGCACTGCGAGGAGATGAGAGGAGATCGGATGAAGACGATGGCGGAAGCACATGGGCGGGGAGGCGGCGCCGCGGGATCGCCACCTGTCGACCCCATGCACGGCCCTTCGCTCCGTTCCTCCACGGAACGGTTTTGGCCACCACGCCACGCCCGGACGATCCGCGGACGACGGCGGACCCATATATGAAGACGCCCGCTGGATCGCCGTTCCCCCCTCCGCACTTCTCGGCCCTCCGACTGGCGGCGGCTCCTCGATACCAACGCCCTCACCTCCGCGCCGCACTTCGCCCTGCAAGCAGTGGACGGCGATCCGCCCAAGTGCCGCGGGGTGACGCACGCAGCTTCTCGGTTCTCGCAAGGGACGGCGACGCACACGCGCGACGCCCTCGGAAGCCGGCACGAGCCGAGATGAAGAAGATGGAGCCGGACATGCAAGCGACGTCGGCGGCTTGCAGCGGAGGCAGGAGGTTGGAGCGCGATCGCTGGCTCACTGTTGCTGATATTAGATGCTTGCTTGAGACGACACATTGTACGAGAGACGACCATGACTTGGAGTTACCTAGTATGAGTTAATGACACGACGCTGCCACCTCACGGCCCCTTGACTCGCTTCACCTCCGTCTGCGTGTGCGCCTCCATCTCGGTGAAACCTACGATCGCGGTCGGAGGCTGGGTCGAGCCCAAGGTTTGTTCGTCCGTCCATCATCATGCGCCGCCACCGTCAGGCGTTGCATCATCATGAAGCCATTCAGAGTGAGGCGCGCGGGCGCGTGTTCCCGCCGACGAACCTATAAGCTTTAGCCGCCGTCCGCACGGTCGCGCCCTGCGCGCGTGCCCCGTCTCCTCCCGTCTCCCGCGCCCGTTCAGGGATCGACTTGCCGGCGGGTTCGGCGCGATCGGTGGGCTGAGCACACATAACGAGGAGATCGGGGCGGCGATCGCGCGCGCGCTGCGCGAAATGGCAACACCTCGATCGAGGGGAGCTGAAAAGCCAAGCTGGCACACGGAGGCTACGGAGCGGAGAGCCCGCATCGTCCGCCGTCCCCTTTTTACGTCGTAGAATCGTAGCCCTCGTCTTGCGTATGGGATCAGGCTGTATGCTATAGCTGGCCTGTGAGTGGGCGCGCGGGCGATCGGCGCGTCCAGGCTGGCCAGAAGCTCGGAGGTCTTCGTGACCTGGCCCACCTGCCACGGGTGAATTTTAACGCGCGACGGATTCGAGGCCTGAACGAAAGGGGCCCGCGCCCCGCCCCGACGAGGACAGTCAGTGCACGCGGCGCTCGATCGAGGGAAAGATTGACCGAGTGCTACGAGACCCGGGCGGCCCACATGCACACTGCGGGCAAACTTGCGACAGACGGTGCCGGGCCGGGTGCGCGACAGGCGGGCGCGATCGCGGAGGCATTTTTTGGGCGGCTCATCCATAACCCATAGGGGGGGGGGGCTGGAGGTTGGCATGGCCCCGCGCGGGTGGACGGGTGAACGTTGGGGGACTTGGCGAATTGGATTTTTTGTTTTGCTTCCGCGGCGGCAGGGGGAAAGAGAGGGAGCACAGAGATCCGAGGGGGGGCGCGCGGCGGGCGATCGGTGCCCTGGCGCATCAACCGCGGCCCGCGCGTACGCCGTAAGTGCTACGCTCGCAGGGTCGGCGGAGGAAAATATTGGTCGTCGATGGTTCGTCGTCAGATGCGGTCGGGAAGGACCGCTGGTGGGGTGTGCGGGCTTGTGGAGACTTGCGGAGAGGAGGGGGAGGCGCTGGAGACTTATTGGACGGAGTGCATGATTGGGTACGCAACGACGGATCTCAGGTGTTGCATCTGACCTTCATATGTATATATGCTGCGAGCAGTCGGATACACACACCGTTACACCTCCTATGAGCCTAATGCCCTGTGCCATCTCGGATTAATATCTGATAATACCCTTTGCACTCGGATTCATACGACCGGCGCGGACCACCACAGCGCAGCAGCTGCGTGGAAGACGCGACGATCCCCGTCCGCAGAAGCCACCCCCGCCGCTGCTACGCTGGGCCCGTTCGTAGCACCGCTCCCGGTGGGCCGGACACGTGCGGTGGCGTCGAACCAGCCAGCCACACCACACGTGTGTGCACAGAGCCATCGGCGGAAAGCGTCGAGACTCGAGAGAAGACCGGCGAACGGACGACGTCGTTCGAACGGCCACGAAAGGCGCCGGAGATATTCTGGTGGGTACGCCGTCTCCTGCCTGGGCGACGGAGGTGGGGCTGTTGGACGAACGCGAACGACCACTGGCCGAGGCGCTGTGCGGTCGGGATGCGTCGGGCTCGACCGCGGCCGCTGGTGTCTTCTGCCTCCGCGCAAGCTAGAACCAGCACCAGAACCAGCACCAGAACTCAAAGCCCCGTTGGCGGTTTCGAGAACTGAGGCCTGAGGGATAAACGTTTGTCGCGAGCTGCACGCCGCCGACCCAGAGTTCCGCGCGATCACGTACGCGTTACGCTCGCCTCCCACCGCGACTGCTCCCGGCTTCCCACGCGCGCCCGGTGGGACGCGGTTGGATGCGTACGCTGCGCTCTACACATGGCTGCAGATCCCACCCACGGCGGGACCGAGGTGGGGTGGGCAGGATCGTCTGGGGCAAGGCTGAATGGGCCTCCGGAGTCTCGAATAGCGAGCGCGGTCCGGGAGCGAACGGTGCGCGGCCGATGGGAGCGACGACCCGCGCCGGGCAGGGTCGCGGAGCCGTCTTGGGAGTGCAGGGGTGGGACGCCGGGCTGGAAGGGCCCGTGCGGCACCGGTGGGCGACGACGACGACGGCGACGACGACAATGATACGCGGGAGAGCACCGGGGACTCGCACTCGGAGCGAGCGCGTTCCGATCTTCTGTGGTCTGCGAAGACGGCGCTGATGATCTTCTGCGACCCGTCGCCCGCGCAGGGCGCGCGGGCCGCTGCCTCGAAGACGGAAGGTGGCATGAAGGCGCACACACACGCACGGCGCAGAAGCGGTGCGTGCATCGGACTCGGCGGGGCCCGGCCGGGGCGAAGCTCTCGACGTTCGATGGTCGACGGTCGACGTCGGTGTCGGTGTCGGTGCGGCCTGCGCTCGCGCGACGCCCGTCGACGCGAGAACCGCCTGCGTACAGACCGCGAGCGCGCAGCCCGACGCGGGTTCTGGGTTCTCTGCGACTTGCGCGCGCCCGATAGCGGAGAAGCCCCCCGTTCGACTGCGTTCGCAGCTGATTCTGTCGCGCCCCGTCGAGTCGCCCTACCGCCGCGGGTGGCAGGCTTCGTCTCCGCAGCGGAACGTGCGCGGGATGGGCGACACTGAGGCACGTCCGCGCCCCGGCGTCGTTCCTGCCGCCGCCGATGTTCGATGAAGGGGGGGTGGTGGGACTCGCCGTCTGGGCGGGGGACGAGGGTCGGAATGTGGAGGCCGCGCGCGAGGCGCAGGCGCGACCCGAGGGAAGGGAGCCTTTGGCGGGGGCGAGGGCGCCGCGGGGGGCGGTCGCCCTTGCCGGGTGCGCTTGGTGTGGAGAAGATCGCGGGGGTTTTGTTCGCGTAGGGGCGGGAGCGGAGGCGGGTCCGGACGGGATCTCAGGCCCTGGCGATAGCGCGTGGGCGGCGGTGTGTCCCTGGTGCTTGGTCGTGGCTTTGAGCTGTGTGCTTGGGGGTGTCCAGCGTCCGTACTGGAGACGACACCGAGGGGGAGGTCGGTCGTCCTGCAAAGCGGGTGTTGGAGAGAGGAGGCGAGGCTCGAGATATCGCCACACACGCGCGATCGGGCGCGTGGGAGCTCGCGCCTTCGTATAGATCCCCGTAGGGGGCTCGCGCCGCCCACACTCGTGGCAGCGAATCCGCTTCCGAGTGCAGCGTCCGCCTCCGAGCGGATGCATTGGCAATGCGCGAGCGTTGACGGTGCACGCGGTGCGCGTTGGTCGCGCCGCGGGCGGGGTTTGGGCAGCGCGGGCCCGGCGGCGCGTCGACCGCTGGCGAATCGTCGGAACACCGTGCACACGAGCGGACGTGGCGGAGCATGAGGCGTTGGGGAGGTGGCCTTATCGGCGCGCGACTCGCCCGCGTGAGTGCGCGCACGCACGCACGCACTCCTCGCGACCAGGCCATAGAACGCCCCCCGTCTAAGGTCTGAGCGGGCGCGGGAGGGGGGCTTTGGGCCGGGGTGGGAGCCTCGTCGCGCGCACTACTGCCTCCGACGCCGTGGCGGGCGCGCGCTTGCCGGTGGCCAGGGAGATTGGGTGAACCGGGGAATCTGGCGGGTCCAGCCGTGGGCGCGCGGGCGTGGGGAGCGGCGATTGGGCGCGCGGAGAAGAGCGGGATGGGGCGCCGGCTATGGGGAGGGGGAGGCTCGGGTGACGCCGGGAGTGGCCTGGCGGTTATGAAGGTACAGGTGAGCTGGTTGTGGGGGGCGCAGCAGGGAGGGGGATGCAGGGACGCACCGCGAGCTCCAGCCCATCTCCGCGCAGAGGAGGACGGGCGGCAAGGAAGGAGGACGATCGATGGTGGCCGGGGAGCACATACGGCAAGCCGCGCACGCACCCTCGGTCCGGAGAGGCCCTTCTCGATCTCCGGCGGACCTTGGCGCGACGTCATGCTGGCCAGCATAGGAGCGCGAACCGCGGTGGGTGGGCGGAGAGAGGAGGGCCGCGAAGCACGAAGCACGAAGCACGAAGCACGACACGCGCCCGGCGAGGACGTGATGCGTACGGGTACAGAGGACGGGCGCGGGTGCACAGCGACCGTGGCGACGGCGCGCGAACTCTCGCTCGACGTTCGTAATGGGCGAGGAACGTCGGAGTCGCCGGCGTGTCGCCGCAGCGAGAACGGCGTGTGCAAAGCCCTGGCAAGTCTCGTCGCGCAGCGTGCCTTCCGTCCGCGTGCAGCCAGTTCCGAGCCCGGGTGGATGGCGGTCGAGTTCATGTTCGTTGTTCCGAAGGCGGTGGCCGTGTGTCGGCTCCGATTCGTGCACAAGCCGGGGTTCGCTGGGAATTCGACGGGTGCAATGGCCGCTGGGGAACGCAAGGGCCTGATTCTGCAGCAATCACCTGTCTCTGTGATGCGAACAGGGCGAGGAACGCGGCACCATTCGAGAAAATGGCCGGAAAACGACCCAAAGAACCACCGATCCGGCCCACGTTGCTCATTAAGCCGCCTTTTGAATATCCGCTCGCTCTGACCGCTCATTCCTGTTTGGGAGTCACCGGACGGGTCGGCGAGGACGTCGAGGTGCCTTTGGCGCGGCCATGTGGATGGACCTTCCTGCAATTGAGTTGTAGCATCAGCTATCAATATATCAAGGCTAAATCCCTTCGTTCCAGGGTGCTCAGACCAACGTAGTAACATACCCGTCGTAAAGCGGTGCACTACATCGCCAAGAGCCGCAAACACGTCAAACGTGACCCCGTCGGAGGCTTTGCTCTGGGTGGAATGGAAGGTTGAAACGTTGACGTGAGTGATGATCGTTATTAAATTATGAGACCGACGCACCGGGAGAAGGAGTGGTATCATCTCGCTTCTGGTTGTATGGTTCGCTGAAAAAGCAAATCGAAACCCCCGAGTGACGTCGCATGCATACAAAAGGTAAAGAGAGTTCTGAGTAAGACTTCCATCACGGAAGAGGACGGAGAGGACCGGGTGGGCGTTTTGTCGGACAGTGCATGTTGGTTGGACGTCTACGTGAGAGGCTCGCCAGATTCATCCGATCGTTGAATGAGCGTCGCTGCAGAGAAGGAATGCACCAGGATATGTCGCTATGTCAACGATTGCATTGGTGGTATGTCGGCGGTTCGTGGGTCGCATGCCATTGAGGGGGTAGAGGAAATGATTGAGGGCTCTTGCTTTCAGAATCATGGCCTGTATGTAAGTAGAGGGGTTTCTTTGGCAGAAAACTCGAGATCTTTACGGTGAGCACACGTAGTGAGAAGTTACTACTCGACCAACAAGCTCCTCACAAAATCAGTTGAAACTTGACGTACCGTTGTGGGCCCTGGAGCATATACACCACCCTCAACTGATGCGATATATTTATAGGGTAACTGGGGTGGTTCCAGTACTGGCGTCTTGCGTGCTTTGAGACTCGCGGTTGACGTTGACGATGAAGTACTGGCGGGTGACAGGTCGCTGGGGGCTCCGGCGCCTCCGTGTCCTGTGAGGCTGTGACCTGACACGGTTATAGTGTTACGCGGTTGTGACCGGACGCGTCCACTCGCGTCCACTCAAGTGTCTCGTGCCCTCATCTTCACCTCTTGCACTGTCATCTCTTCTCGAGCTCCTCAGACACCATGTCTCTCGTCACGATACGGGTATGCGCTCTACATGCCTAGAAATTCCGCAATGCTCACGTGGACAACTCAGAACGTCGAGTTCCTGAACAACCCCGCCCGATTCCTCGATCCATACCACTTCCGTGTAACATTCGAGTGCATAGCTCCCCTTCCAGAAGGTACCTCTCTTACCGAAATCCAGTCTCACTGTTCTCAAAGCTCATTGCTCACGCAGATCTGGAGTGGCGGCTCATATACGTCGCCTCCCCCGGCAACGAGGAACTCGACCAAGAACTCGATGACTGCTTGGTCGGACCTGTCCCAGTGGGCGTAAATGCGTTCGAGTTCGAGGGCTCGGCACCAAACCCGTCCAAAATTCCTCCAGAAGATGTGATGGGCGTCGCCGCCCTTATTCTCACCGGGTCGTACAAGGAGCAAGAGTTCGTGCGCGTTGGCTACTACCAGAACACGGAGTACGACAACGAGGAGATGAAGGACGCACTGCCAGAACCCATCAGGTTCGAGCGGTTGGTCCGAGACATCAACCAGAAGCCGAGGGTGACAAGGTTCCAAATTAAGTGGTGAGTGTTCTGTTAGTGTATCGTGCACGCGTGTATCCACAAATCAAAGCCGGTCTCCCCTTCACCATTCACATCCCCCCTTCGCTGCCTCTTCCGATCTCCTTCGTGTGCAGTCGGAGCGTTTGGACCATCCATTGACTTCTCCTTCGCAGGGATGTGGCACCTCCCCAGGCAAATTCTGCAGTGGCGGCTGGCGCAGCAAATTCTGCTGCAGTACCTTCGGCCGACGACATGGACGATGACATGGACGGCACCTCATGATATTGACCTATTGTACACGCATGGCTTTCGGACTGCTTTCCGTTCGTGATCGGGCTTTAGCATCGCTATCCGTCTATGTAGCTCACCTGTTTGTTTACCTGATAGCAATTGAACACGTGTTTTGGGATGCTTGAGTGGCGAAGTTCTGCGCCACTGATCTCGAAAGCCCGCTTGGTCTGCGCTTGGTCGTACTGTGAGGAAGCCTTCGTATAAGAAGTTATGTGGATCTATGGTTGTTGTTCCACTCACCGTCTAGCTCCCTGCCTACCTTGCCACTGCACCACTACTGCGGCTCCGCTATGCATCTCGTTCGGATCCTATGTCTGCTGAAGATATTCACCTTTCTCGCTACCATCAGCTCACGACGTCAGCCCAGACAACCCAGTGAACCCGTGTTGAGTCAGTCGTGCCATCTTTCTATTACCACGGTCACTAATCGACTCGACACGCTCAGAACATGGTCGATAGCGACTCCAGTGTCCGTGACACAGAACAAGGGTGCTACATCGATGTTCAGAAATACGAACCGCCAACGAGGGTGGTTGCCATACAGGATGCTTGTACGCAGGGATGACGCTGTAACCAATATAGAGATAAGATGGCCGGATCGTAGGCAATATGTGCGAACAGGAGACTACAAACTTTCCGTCGGCGAAGGGGTGAACATTGGGTGGCCGATATCGCAGCGGACTCCAGCACCGCGGACTCCTCCACCTGCTGCTTCGTCATAACCTCAACAACGACCTCCATCCTCCTGTAGTCCTTCTCCAGCACGCGCAGCTCCGCACGGAGCCGCTCGTTCTCGTCCACGAGCTCCGGCTCCCGCGCCGCGCGCCGGCGCACCTCGTCGTCCGTGCGCGCGTCGCGCCCCGCGAGCACCTCGCACTGCGCGCGCCAGCGCGCGGCCTCCGCCTCGAGCAGCCGCACGCGCTCGTCGTACGCCGCGCGGAGCATCGCGAGGCCGTCGCGCGCCTGGCCCTCGGCGACGGCGGCGCGCTCGGCGAGCGCGTTGTTCTCGCTCGAGACCGCGCTCGCGTGCGCGGACGCGGTGCCGTACAGCTCGCGGAAGAGGTCGCGGTCCTTCTCGGCGTCGCCCTCCGCCGCTGCAGCTGCTCGTTCTCCGCGCGGAGCTGGGAGAGCTGCTGGTCCCACTGCGCGGGGGTGGGCTCCGCGGCCGCTGGCGCGTCCGTGGCCATGTGGAGTCGGCGGGTTTCCTGCGCGCGAGAAAACTGTGGCGTCAGCGGGAGTGGACGATTCGGTGGGGGCACACAACCCACGGTTCTCCTTGGGGAGTTGCTTGTGATATTCCTGTGTATCTTCAGTATGCCCTTTCGATGCACGGAGGGGAGAGCGCGCAGTCTGAACTCCGCTGGTGTTGCGTGAGAGGTGGTGGGAACAAAATTGCGCTGTGCTGGAGTCGAAGAACCGTATTCTCTAAGCGCCTATCAGTTGCACTGGATGTGGTCACGCGTCCATGGCCATGGGCGCTTCAGAAGCGATCCTTTGCTCCATCTCCCATCCCACTTCGCCGGTCCACTTCTTTAGCCACCACTCCACCTGCTGCAACGACACCAGCAACGCGACCCTGTGTATCGAAGGAGCATGAGACACGGTGGCCATATGGTCCTTGGAGGGCAACTACGTGAACGAAGAGTAGAAACCATGTGAGTCTACCCGGTATGTCGCCGAGTGCCTCGCCCATATGTACCTGAACGGCCTTCATCGACTTCGTGTCATTCAAGAGGTCAGAAGGGCCTGCCGGACCCCCTTGCTGTCTTCAAATGTTCCATATGAACGGCTCCGGGCCGGACACCACGAGCTCAAGTCCTCACCTCTCAGTTGAAATCGAGCGATTGAGTAAGTGGCCGGCTTCAAGCCATTCATTCGCGTCGATGGCTGTGTCTCACAAGCCCCCAGCTTCCTCGACAGGGTGTCATCTGACGACTCAACGCCCACAGCAATCCCCCGGCCCGCCCATGACGATCGCGCCGCGCCCTGGTGTCCCCGCCGCCCGTGATGCGTACGCGGTCAGATGACGCCTGCGACCGTCAGGGCCCCCCTCTCCTCCTCCCAACATGCGCAACGCCCCCACAGGCCCTCCCCGACATTCCCCCGCACTCGGGCTCGTGCGCGCCGGAACGCGCCTCGACCCGCATGCTAAGTAGCACGGCGGGCGGCCGCACGACGCCCCGCGCCCCTCCCGCCCTTTACCCTCCTCTCCCCGACCTCCATGACGCGACACTCCTGGAGCCGCGCCGCGTCGCTCGGCGCGGGCGCGCTCCTGTTCGCGCAGCTTCACGTGCAAGGCGTGTTCGGCCTCGGGCAGGACAGCTGCGTCGCGTTCACATCCTCGCCCTCCTTGTTCGCCATCGTGAGCGGCGGCAAGGCGGCCCCGATCTTCCTGTCCGAAGACGAGTGGCCCGGGGTGCAGCGCGCGGCGAGCGACTTCGCGTCGGACATCCTCGGCGTCGCGGGGGTGAAGCCGTCGCTGATGAACGTCACGGCCTCCTCCACCTCCTTCCCAAGCTCTACTCCGGTCCTCATTGGCACGCTGGGGAAATCGTCGCTGATCGACGCGGTCGTCAACCGCACAAAGCTCGACGTGTCGTCGATCGAGGGGAAGTGGGAGGCGTTCATGTCCGCGGAGGTGGCGAATCCGTTGCCGGGGATCCAGAAAGCGTACGTCATCGTCGGTTCCGACAAGCGTGGGTCGATATATGCGCTGTATGAGCACTCGGAGCAGTTCGGTATGTGTTCATGCTTCTTCTGTGCGTGTTTGGCGGAGGTTGAGTTGTCCATCCAGGCGTTTCTCCTTGGTATTGGTATGGCGATGCATTCTTCACCCTCAGCGATTGTCCTAAGCGGGCTTTGCAGGTGGGCAGACGTCCCCACGACAAAGCATAACAACCTCTTCGTCGCTTCGTCCGGATGCTCGCACGGCACACCGACTGTCAAGTATCGTGGAATCTTCCTCAACGACGAGCAGCCTGCGCTACAAAGCTGGGCCATGGAGAAGTTTACGAACGGAACGGGAGCATCTTTGACCGGCTCTCCCTTCAACCACTTGTTCTACACCAAACTGTACGTTTCTGGTCCTTTTGCTTTCAACTATCTAACGCGATGGCCGGATCCAGGTTCGAACTCCTTCTGCGCTTGCGGCCAACTACATGTGGCCAGGTATGTACAACTTCCTTCCGAAGTTCCACTTCAGCTTACAGGCTCCGTTAACAGCGCAGTGGAGCAGGTATGTGTATCGCGCAACACGCGATCGCGTTGAGCTCACCTGATCTACTCCTACAGCGCGTTCGGGGTAGACGATAGCCAGAACCAGCCCCTCGCAGACTGGTACGGCATCGTCATGGGTACTAGCCACGAAGAGCCGATGATGCGCTCTGTCCCAGTGGAATGGGGACTCTTCGGTAAAGGCAGCTGGGACTATGGAGGCAACCAAGCTGCTGTCTATGATTTCTGGAAGGGGGGCGCGGAGCGTGCTCGCCCTACGAGAACGTGATCACCATTGGCATGCGGGGGAACGGTATGTGAATCTGACCTGCGTCTACCTTGACGTTGAACTCAACTCAACTTTCTTTTACGAAAGGCGATTGTAAGCAACATCTGCTTATGGCGCAGTTCAGACGGTTTATGATGTGTTGTGCACGCAGTGCCTTTGGAGTCGGAAGGAGATAAGATTACGCTCATGGAGAAGATCGTGAATGATGAGCGCCAGCTGCTCCTCGATGTATACAACACGACCGACCCGACGACCATCCCTCAAGTTTGGACATTATGTGGGTTCGCTTTCCTCTTGTCGTCGTCCTTTACTGATCTTACTTGCAGACAAGGAGGTTCAGCAGTACTACGACGAAGGCATGCCTGTCCCCGATGACGTCATGCTTATGTGGACCGACGACAAGTAAGCCTCTTGAGAAGTGCTTTCTGAGCATGACTGACATGTTTGCAGCTGGGGAAATGTACGACGTTACCCGGTCGTCAGCGAGCGGAACAGGACGGGAGGATCAGGAGTGTACTACCACGTGCGTTTGTTCGATGGACTCCTGGTACTGGCGATTGCTGACAAGTCGAAAGGTGGACTACGTTGGCGACCCTCGCGACTACAAGTGGATCACGAGCAGTCAGATCGAGAAGGTCCGTATCAGGACCGTTTACGCGTGATGATATGGCTCACAAACACTTCGTCAGACTTTCGATCAAATGTCGACCGCCGTTGCACGCGAGGCCACAAACATCTGGATTTTGAACGTCGGCGACCTCAAGCCCTACGAGATGCACACCGAGTTCTTCCTGACATACGGCTACGACGCGACGAAGTGGAACCCGACGAACCTCCGCAGCTTCGTCACAGGCTGGGCACAACGTGAATTCGACCTTTCTGCATCCGACGCTGCCGAAGTCGCGAACATCGTCGCGAACGTCACCCGCCACAACGCTCGCCGCAAACCCGAAATGTGGAACTCGACCACGTACAGCTTGACTCACTATCGCGAGTACGTCCCTTTGCTGCTCATTCCTTGAAAGCTCGTTACTTAGACGTTGCGAATAGGGCGGAGAACGTGCTTGCATCGCTGCAATCTGCCGCTGACGCCGCTTCGAGAATTTACGGCTCCCTTTCCGCTGCGGCGAAGCCGTCATTTTTCGAGCTCGTCTACCACCCGGCGCAAGCGACCTTCACGCTCGCCTCGATGTGGATCTCCGCTGGCATCAACAACCTGCGTGCATCACAGGCGCGGATCAGCGCAAACGAGTACATGGCCCAAGTCGAGCAGCGGTTCGACGAAGACTACGCTCTCGAGGTGGACTACCACGGTCTTTTGGAAGGTATGTGGCGTGGGTGGCCGCTGGGTGTTCCGATGCTGATTCGAAGCGACATAGGGAAATGGGACCACATGATGGACCAGACTCACGTCATGTACTACTACTGGCAGCAGCCTATGGCTAACACGTGTGTGATCAGGATAACAGCGTCGTTCCAGTCACTGACATCACTTTCAGCATGCCATTTGTGACGAAGATGCAGGCCACGAAGCAGGCGCTGTCAGGTGCCATGCGCATTGCAGTGGAAGGGAGCGAGGGAGCATGGTAAGCCTCTCAATCAACGTCCTCGTGCGGGTCAAGCACTGACCTGAAACCAGGCCAGGTGACAACGTCAACAACTGCGCGCAAGGGTACAACTGTGGAAATCCGTCATTGACCCTAGACCCTTTCGTACCCACGGGCAATCGTTACGTGGACGTCGGCGCTGGTGGACCTTCCCCTTTTACGTTCACCGTCTCTAGCAACGCGTCTTGGGTGACGCTCTCTACCACCAAAGGCTCGATATCCACCGACAACAGCGAAGAACGAGTCTTCCTGGGGGTTGACTGGGACAAGATCACCGGAGTGCAAGCTGCAGTCGTCACTATCAAGGCCACTATACCCGGTCAATCGTCCATGTCGGTCCCTGTTACGTTGACCGCAGACAAGACCGTCGTCCCGAGCGACTTCCATGGTGTGTATGACGATGCAACAAGCAACAAGCAGAGTCTGATCCAGTATATTCAGGCTTCGTCGAAAGCGATGGTGCAGTTTCCATCGAGGCGGCTCATGCCATGCGCAATTCCAGCGTCGAGGGCATTGCCTGGACAGAAATCCCTGGCCTTGGTCGCACGTTGTCCGGCATCACTCCATGGCCCCGTGGCGGAGCCGAGCTCAACTTCACCGCAGGCAGCGGCCCGAGCATGTGCGTCCGTCTCTTTCTCTACTCTCCCCCCACGTATCGAATGACGTCTTCTGCAGCGAGTACGACTTCTACCTCTTCAACACGAAGAACCAAGGCGGAAACGTCACCGTCACGACCTTCGTCTCCCCGTCGCTCAACAGCTTGGGCGACAGCCGCCCGCTCGGCATCGCGCTGCAGATCGACAACGGGACGCCCAAGACGACTTACTTCGTGCCCAAAACCGCCGCGGGCCAGGTGACGCCCGCCCCGTGGGGCGGCGCGGACGGCTGGGTCGCGAACAGCATCATCTCAGTGCCGATGGTGCTCCCCGTCCAGCCCGGGGCGCATACGCTGAAGGTGTGGATGATCGAGCCGACGGTGGTGGTGCAGAAGATCGTCATCGGTGCGTGTCTTGCGTTATCTGGGTTTGAGTTACTCTCAGGCCTAACGCTCGTCTCGTAGACACGGGTGGAGTGCAGAAGAGCTATCTTGGTCCGCCAGAGAGCGTGCGTGTGTAAATGGTCTTATAATGATATGTCCATCCCACCCTACTGCGCTATGTGCCCTCCCGGCAATTACTCCCTCAACCACAAGAACGAAAGTCGTGAGTTGCCTATTGCGCTATCAACGTGCATTATCTAAATGTTCTTACAGGCGCTTCGCTATTTAAAAGCGAATAATAAACGTGTGAGCCTGGTCTGGCCCTTTGTGCCACTAGTGTCAGCGGGCCAGAAGACCGAACCTACGATGACCGCGGTCCTGACCTCGATGCAGGGACGGCGTCTGTTGCGGTCCTTGCACGCCACAGACGTCTGATGTGAATGCTACGCAGTCAGCACTGTCCCGCTGACTATCACACGTCTCATGCTACTATATTACACCCCACTGGGCCGTGCACTACACTTTCTCCCTCTCACTGTACCTAAGGATCGCCTCGCAAGCTCCTGTGGGATATTTGCATAGATAATTCTCAAGGTTCGTCCATCATTGCGATCACATCTCTCGTGGCTGATCAGTCTGTAGCCGGTATGCGCTTGCTTGACACCAGCAATGGGCGATTCAAGTGGTGCGACGACCCACGGGAGGAACGCTACGCAGTGCTGTCCCACGTTTGGGCGAAGAAGACGGACGCAAGCGAGGCCTTCATTCCCGAGCAAACGTACAGGACGTGGTCAAGATCCAGAACTCGTGCGCAACGGAAGCCTTCGTTCTCCCCCAGCTAGCGGAGAAGATCCAGAAGGCGTGCGAAATAGCTCGCAACCACGGCTTTCGTTACATCTGGATCGACACGTGTTGCATCGACAAGACCAGCAGCGCGGAGCTCTCCAAAGCTATCAACTCGATGTACAACTGGTATCGCTGCTCGAAGGCTTGCTACGCCTACCTTGTCGACGTTGACGACCGCGAAGATCCCCATTACTATCACTTACTCGGCAGCATCTGGTTCCGTCGCGGCTGGACACTCCAAGAACTCATCGCGCCCCGCAACGTTCTGTTCCTCTCCCAGGATTGGAAGTTATCGGGACGAAGCACCAACTAGCCGACTTCATCGCGGGCCGCACTCGTATCAATGCCAAGATCCTTCGACACGAGAGTACCCTCACCGATGTGTGCGTCGCGGAGCGTATGTTGTGGGCGTCGAGACGACAGACGACCGAAGAGGAGGACAAAGCATACTGTCTCATCGGGATCTTCGGTGTTCACCTCACTCCTATCTACGGCGAAGGGCAACACGCTTTCACCCGTCTACAGCGCGCCATCCTCGAGCAGATTCCCGATCAAAGCATCTTCGCATGGGGAATACGACCTTCCTTTCCCCTTTCGCTCAACAAGCCTCTTCAACGACGTCAGATGACGGTGGCGACCAGCGTACAAGTCAGTGGCTACCAGTCGTCCTACCTTCTCGCGGCGTCTCCTCTGGACTTCGATTGCTCCCTCGACATCATTTCTATCCCTCTACATACCCTTTCCTTGCGCTTGGGCATCCACGTCACATATCCCGACTACACGACTACGTCATACGGCATGCGCACCTCATTCCCCCTCCTTCCATTCTACGACGACAACGGCGCCGAGCTCATGCTGGCCTTTTTGGCATGCGTAGACGTTACGGGACGTCTGATCGCTCTCGTCCTTCGCCCTTCACAATCGCAGTCTTCGAGCGCGGAGATGTTCGTGGGGGCCATGTTCCCGCAAAACAGAACGCAAGTGTCCGTGGACGCGACGCGATTGCACGACACTGGTTCAAGGATCCTCTCGGACTACTATCGCCTCGTTGCACTGCCTGCGACCAGATTCGAAACTCTTCTAGTTAACACAGCTTCGGATGACCGACATCTACATTCATCAGAGCCTACCACTGGAAGAGCAAACGATCTCCCGAGACGCCCACATCCACCAAGCGCTCTGCATACTTCATCCGTCCGAAAGACCGCAAGTTACGCTCGCTCGCTGGTGTACCCCGCTCCTCACCAAGCAAGGCTATTCCGTGTCCCACCTCAACGAGTATCACCTCCGGCCACCTGAGTTTACCCTCTATTACCCCGGTAGCGCGACCGTCAACATCCGAATCGAACATTGCGCATGCGAGAACGGACGCCAAACGGGTCTTCTCCGCGCTGTCTTATCTCCATCATCTCATACACAGCAATCCACATCCCCCTCCGACCACCGCGGCGGATTCCGTTTCACAGGTCCACCAAGGTGCCACGACGACCACATTCAGTCGTGGGATCTTCGCGACGGCGTTGCTACCAAGACGTTCCCTCTACCCTCAAAAGGAACCACAAAACGTCGTCTCCGTCTTACGCTCAGTCTCACGGAGACGGGGCATATCCACTCGAGCAAGACCTACGTTCTGGACATCGAGGTCCTACACCGTTCGATCGATGGCAGGACCGCGTCAGATATCGTATCACACTCTCCGCAAGATGACAACGACTCTGTGGAGCAGCGCTTCGGTAGATCTCCCGGCCAAGAGTGGCACGACCGGTCGCGTTCCCAATCCACAGTCAGAGCGGACCCAAGTTGTGCCTCCGAAGACACACGCCGCCGCGAAGGAACGAACCGCGCTCCTATCACAACACGTTCGCGTTCGGTAGACGGCTTTGTTCAGCGACCGGCGAGGGTGATGAGCCCAGATCCGTTCATCGAGGGCGACATGCATCAGGGTACAAGAAGTGCGACGCCTCCTTCGCCAGACAATGAAGGCATGTACGGTGTCGCACGGCATCACGGTGAGTTCCATCAACAGTGCAACTATAGCTCGCGTTGTCAGTGGCTAATCATGCGGATGTGTGCAGGGGGTTTTCAACGTTCCAACACCGCAGTTAATCATCGACCGTCGGGACGGCAGCGTAACGAGCGGAGGTAACGATTTCACGATGTCAGGTTCACGCATGAAATTGATTCGAGTAACTCTGTACAGAGCTTCAGCGTGGCCTGCGATGCCTTCTGAACACATCGTTGATTTCGTGGATGGAGTCCCACCGGGCCAGGTCGAATCGACCCCTCCTCGGAGGAATAGTTACAACCGCAATGCAAGGAGTCCAGACGGGCGAAGCTCAGAGGTCCTCGGCACAGAGAGGTGGCGTGTTCCACAAGCTTCTTCACGGCATGGTCAAAGCAACGCTCCGCCTGTACCACGGACTTCAGCGCACGCGTCTCGTGCGGTGGCGCCTCCGCATTTTGGGGGGCTGGATCGTCGCTCTGACGGTCGTGCGGGCCAGCCTACGAACGAGCTTCAAAGCCCTCCAGCCTCTCCGCCCGGCTACCACCCCCGAAGAAGCGAAGCTGCGCGGCGGCGGTCACAATCACCCCGTCCACGTGGCGCAAGAACTTCTAGGCCAGAGACGATGGGAGGCGGCCTGCCACCGAGGTGGCCAGAACCTACCGCCGCCGGATCTCCCCAATCCAACTCTCGCTCAGCACCACCTACCTTCCGTCCACATAAAGGTCGCTCCCGCTTCCCGATCAACGACTCTTCAGATGCAGAAGTGGAGACCTATCACACGGATACTTCCGACCCCGACTCAGCCTTACACTACTCTCCCCGCCGTGCAGCCCCCAGTCCGTCTTCTCCACCACGACGCCTCACGGAGAGCCCGCTCCCACGGGTACTTAGCGATGCCGAGTCGGGACGTTCCCGAAACACGAGCACCACTCCCTCGAGCCAAGCGGACTGGGTTCAGAGCGCGATGGAGAACGAGTCCTTCAGCGTCCAGGAGCGGTATGGTGGGACTTTCTCCCGTTCCAGTGACCCCCCTGCGCACAATGCGGTAGGCTTCAGCGAGACAGTTCCACCCGCACGCACCGCAGTGCACAGCGACGGCGCAGGGTCACTCGTACCACTTCCTCGCGGTTCCGAGAAGCCGGACCTTCAACGGCCAGCGGTGCACATTCCCCATCCCACCTCGTCCGTGACAAGCGACGTCCCCACAGGCCACGCGTCTCCGGAGAACGTATCTCAAGATGGGCGCCGACCGCTCAACACTGGACGCATCGATCACGTCAACGCGACTGGTGCCACTCCGCCTGAAGTCTCCTCTCAGATCCCGGGTGCCACTTCGCCAGCCTCGCGAGGACCGAGACGGCCACCAGGTATCGATGCGCGGCCACCACATGAGGCTTCGAACACTCCCAAAGACAAGAAGCGAAGCTCGCTGCGGGGAGTTATGATGTTCTGGAAGAAGAATGGCACTTGAGACACTGTTTTATTATATCGAGTGAAAGGTCGCGCGCTCAAGCCGACGTAAATAGAGGGCCGTACGAGGATGAATGGACCAGAGGTTTTGTGTACGCACAAGTTGGGCGGCCGCATGTCGTTCGTATTTCGGAGAATGTCATTTCCACAGGATCGAACCAAGCGCTCTCAGCTCTCTCGCCTGTCGGTTTACCACGCGCGACGAATTTCAACTTGGCACCCGCTGCTGAGTTGTCTCCGTCAGTCCCTCTACCTCTTGACCGGCCTCCTTGTATATGTGAAGCCTGGGCGGATCCTGTCCTCCTTTGATGGTCTTGATAACCAAGACATTGCAAATCGACGCAAATTTCGGCCAGGCACGCGCGCCCATGCGCCCACAATGAGTCTTCTTTCCGCCACCCTCATCAGCCGACGATATTCCTCATTCCCACCGCAGGCCGCATCCACATGGTCCAAAGCCCAATGATCTGTGCGCGCTCTATTGGGTGTTCTTTGCGTAGCGCGACCATGCTAGTCTCTGCCGACAGGAGGTCAAACGATCGCGCTCAAGTTGTGAAATTTACCACTACCAGGGTGAGCGGTTTAAACTTATGCTCGCTCTCTGCCAACAAGTATACACGTCTGATGCATTTTCCAGTTTTGATTTGGGAAGCCCGTGAGCCTGGATGTCTAGAAGAAAGGCGTCTAATTCATCATGTCTCGAAGAATCACTGGATGAGGGCGCATGGGAGCCATCTTGTGAAAAGCCTCCGTGTCGACTCAGTGCCTCTTATCCTCGACCGCTCACTCGATTCTGCACGCCTTGCCCCTGTCTCCAACTTGCATCCCCCCGTCTACTCGCCTGAGGGCCCGTCTCTTTAGTCAGTACTGCCCATTATGCGACATCCCTCACCGACTCACACGTCTTACAGTCCAGTATGCGTATGCTCGATACCAGCACTGGCCGGTTTTCGGACCAGCTTCATCACCGTCGAGTTCGATACGCCATCTTGTCCCACGTTTGGTCGAGGCGGGAGCACAGCAACTACGTGCCAGAGCAGACGTACGAAGACCTCGTCGAGATTCAGGCGGAATACCCTGCGCCCGATTCGTCCATCCTTCCTCATCTATCCGACAAAGTACAAAAGGCATGCGAGCTTGCCCGCAGCCACAACTTCAAGTACCTATGGATCGACACATGTTGCATCGACAAGACAAGCAGCTCCGAGCTTTCCAAAGCGATCAACTCCATGTTCGAGTGGTATCGCTGTGCCAAGGTCTGCTACGCGTTCCTTGTCGACGTCCACGACGGAGTACTCGACGATCGCTATAGCGGCTTCGTGGAAAGCGAATGGTGGAATCGTGGATGGACCCTTCAGGAATTGATCGCCCCGCCTCATGTCCTCTTCCTGACGAATTCATGGACGCCGTTCGGAACGAAGCAGACGCTGTCTTGGCTCATCACGAGCGCCTTTGGCATCGACGAGAAGGTGCTCCGGAACGAACGGGTCCTGTCTGACGTATGTGTTGCGGAGCGCATGTCATGGGCGGCCAACCGCAAGACCACCGAGGACGAAGACGAGGCGTACTGTCTGATCGGAATCTTCGGCGTCAACGTCACCCCCATCTACGGCGAAGGACAGCACGCCTTCGTCCGTCTCCAACACGCTATCCTCGCGCAAATACCTGACCAGACCTTGTTTGCATGGGGCGGACGGGAGAAGGTCAAACTACCTCTACACGGCGACCCCAAGTTTTTCCACGCCGCCGGAGAAGCGTCTCTGCACGCCGCCGGTCTCGGCGCTGGGTACCCATCCGCCCATCTCCTCGCCTCGTCTCCTCGAGACTTCCACAACTGCAAGCCAAGCTATATGGGCCCGGTCATCAGGTCCATCTCTCAGCATCAGCTCTCCCAAAAGTTGGCCATGGGCCATGTCACATATCCACACTACACTGCAACTTCCTTCGGCATGCGTACTTCCTTCCCCATGCTCTCTTACACCACCGACCACGGCGTGGAGATTAGTCTTGCATTCTTGGCTTGCGAACACATCTCTGGAGCTAGCGAGAACCTCCTTGCCCTTATTCTTCGCCATTCGCCCACAAGCAAGGAGAAATATGTTGGCGTCATCAACCCAAAGCGTCACCCAAACCGCTGGGACTACTCTCAGCAATCGACTCTCAATATCGCACACTCATCCAATCCCCCTGAAAATGACCTTTGTCGCATAGCGATCGTCATGCCGGAGATCGACGTCGATCCCTCGAACTTGGACCAGCGCTCTCCCTATCTCCACTTTGACATCACTCTGGCCGACGTCTTCGTGTCGCAGAGCCTGCCACGTCACGAGCAGACCATCTATGCGGATGCGGTTATTCATCAAGCCCTTTGTTTCTGGCCGCTTGCAAGTATCTCGACCACGGAGCGCCCCCTGAAGGTGTCTCTCGCGCCGTGGTGTCGACCACTGCTCGAGCGGACGGGATACGCGATTGTCAACCCGGACGGCAATACGGTCCCATACTTCCGACTCGTCGTCGGCGATCATGAGGTGTACACTCTACAGATCGATCGCTGCGCATGCAATGAGGGGTTCCTGCAGGGCGCCCTTTGCCTCCGTCTCTGGACATCCGCCCATCATATACGCCAACACGGCTCCTTCCGCTTCGAGTCACGACCGTGCAGCGACGATCACATCGCCTCGTGGGCGATCCGTGATGGCATCGCCTCTCATACGATCTCCCTAGCAGACAACGGCCACAAAACACGCTTTCTGCGTCTCTCACTCAGCCTGGCATTTCACTCGTATGACCCCGCTTCTGACGCGGGCACGCACATCCTTGACGTCGAAGTCCTGGGTGGGGCACCTACCGGCGGCCCTACGGGGTCGCCTCGATACCATATTGAAGACCGTATACACGGCGAGTTCACGCCGACGCCTCGCTGGCAGGATACCTTGGTTTCGTCGTCGAATCCAGCGACCGAGAACCATCCAGCACCTCCAGCAGGAAGGCGTCCATCGGCGAGCAATGCCCAGAGGCTGCCAGTCACGCGGAACCAGGAAGCACCCCAGTACAGCGGCCAGGACGACTTCATTGCGCATCAACCCTCCTCGAGGGTCAACTCCGAATCTTCGGCGCACTATCCTGCCGTTGAACTGCACCACGGAGTGAGGTTTCAAGAAGGTAAATCACCACTCTTTCGCGTCACAGTGACGCTCAATGTTGAATGCTGCTTTTTCACCGGAAGAGCGACCCCACACTGGGCACTCGTCTGGCAGCGACGCCACTTTCGGTAGCGCTAGAAGCTCGAGCTCGGCGCACGGAAGGTTCGTTGGTTTCCATGCTCGATCGCTTACTATTTACTCACGTTGACTCTCTTCAAGCAACTCGTCTCAGCAGGTCAGGGCTTACGCTAGGCAGGACTCAGAACACCGCGAACGTTCTGGGCTCGGTCCGCCCTCGGGTCCTGCCGCTTTCGAGGGTCGGAGACATAGCTTTGTGACGGCGGGATCCCCAGACGCGCAGTCTTATGCGGGCGCGATAGCGCAACCCGAGGAATCGTTCGATTCTGCCCCCATTCCAAGGCCCCTTGATCACGCACAAGAACCGGCGCCCTCTTATCAAAACTGGAGCAGAGAGCCCAGCGACCAGGCACCTTTTTCACATACTCCTCACTCCTCCACCGCACCACATCATCAGTATACTTCGGGCAGTTCCAGCTCTGGCGAACCCTTGGATCAACAGCCTTTGCTTTCGAGGAACCTCAGCTCGAACTCCGCAGACGCCCGCGGTTCCCAGACTGTATCTCGTTCCGATTCGCGCTCTCGACCTGCAGCTGAGCTCTCTCATCAAGCGGACTCATTGCAGTCGCATATTTCCGAGCACGCGTCATATCCCACCGGGTACTACAGTCAGCCTGGGTTCCCCGACGCCAACCTCCATGACCGAGCTCACACCTACTCTCACCCTCAATTTCACGCGGACGCACAACCTGGCATACCTCCATCAGCGATGCAATACTTGAATCAAATGGAGCGTTTCCTGGCATCCATAGGATATGCCGTGGTCCCAGTTCCTCCATATCCGCCCGCAGAGCCCCCTTATGACCCCTCGGAGCAGATCCTCCCCCAGCGAGATCTCGCGCCCGAGCACCAGCGCGCGACGATGGACTCGCCCGAGCCGCTGCCGTCGAGCAGCGCTGCTCAGTCCGCGTGGTACCCGCGCACGCCGCGTATCAGGGATCTCTCCATGGACGGGCAGGCAGGACCTGCACCCGCTCACCCGGCGCCCCCCTCCTCCACCGCGCCGCCCCATCGCTACTCCCATTCCAACCCTGTCCCTCCACCACGGAATCCTACGACCATGCCTGGGGAGTTCCCTCGGGGCCATGCCCTCTCGGTTGCATGGACTAGTGCGGCATCTGACCTCGCGTACCTGCCCGGCGCCGCTGTCCCCGCACCCACAGGCCCACAGGGCCCCCAGCGTCGACGTCTACCAACGCGCGGCGATACGCTCGTCGCGGAGCTCGACCCCGACGCGACCCCTCGCCCCCGTATCATAAACGATGTCGAGGACCGCGCCGCCGGACCGGAGGGCGCACGGGAGATCAGTGACAGTTCGCGGCGGCCGCCCAACGCGCCAGCTCAGGTTCCCGTGATGAGCACGTCTTTCTCGGACGCTTCCCCTATGCCTAGGCCTGCTCAGGCTGCCCCCGGCGCGAACCCTCCTCCGGACGCAATGCCGCGTGTGAGAGAGCGGGCCAATGGTCATGGTCGCTCGGTGAGCGAGGGAGTTATCCCGACTGCGGAAGATCTTGCTTACGCGGAGAGTAGCAGAAGTAGGGCGTCGAGGAATTCCAGCTGGTTCCAGAGGGTACTAAGCTGGCGCGAGGGACGGGGTCCACGTCAAGGAACTGATGGTCGGTAGCTCGGAGATAGGGTACGATTATGCTTGACCCTCGGATGTACATTGTATCGTTAAGAGCATATCAGAGATGTTTTTGACTCACTTGGACTGCCTCGCAAGTGAGCATGCGTCAAAATACTGTACAATATTGCGCAGGGATGCGGCCAACCCAAGTTGCACGGTGCCTCGTGCCGCATGCGATCTCACACCATGATTCATGAGTTTCCCTGTCATTACTTTGTACTCATACTCTACAAGTCTACTGTAGCTCCGACCAAGTCTGGATATCCACGGCGATCTGCCCCGGAAGCTCGGCATGCCCGGCGCGGGGTTCAGCACAGGAAGGCGGCTCCCGGAGCCTTGCGTAGGGTACGAGCGTGAGCGCGACTGGTGACTAGAGGCGGAGAAGTTGTTGAGCTAGTTCTCGGCGAGGTTGAGTGTGCTGGCGTGAGTCCGAGGATCGACAGCTGTCGTTCTCTCGGCAGTGGTGGTGACTGCTTACCCGCTGCATCTCCTGGACCGTCGGAGACTCAAGGACGACCGCCTCGTCCCAGCGAACCGAGGTTGCACTGCTCGTTCCCAGGCCACAAGAGCCCTTCTCGATGACCGACCAGCGCGACCAGTTTCATCGATCGTATTCGTGACTGTCAACGTTAGCCGCTGGAGGGGTTCCATGGCGGTCGGGTGCGCGTATCCCACTGCTGAGGGTCGCCGCGGAGCCTGTGCGAGGCAAATGACCGTGTCGACGGCCTCTCCGTGCTGTAGAGCATGCAATTCAGTGACCTCTTCAATATCATCATCATCCAACAAACGCCAATCCAGTCCCCCGCGAACTTGTGGGACCAGCAGCGTCGATGGCGACGCCACCCGCCTGCCCCATCGCAGTGCGCACGATCCGCTCAATGCGGTCGCTCGCGCGGATGACTAGCCAGGCGCACCCGAACCGCGCATACAACGACGCCGCAGTTTCGACGCCGGTGCGCTCTCCGCCGATTGACAGCGTTCGAAGGCGCACGCTCGCGAAACGGTGGTAGCAGGGGACCGCTGCCCTCGACGACACGGCTCCCCACCATCTACGACGCGCGCGTGAGTTCCTCCACGAGCTCCGTCGCACGCAAATGTGACGCACACGTCGCGGCTGCTGGAGGGTGGACCCTCCTACAAATGAGGCAACACCACGGCCCAGGTCGCGTTGTCCCAGGAATCACCGCTTGAGCCGTCCTAAGGATGCTGTTGGCTGCGCGCTCAACCGACTGGGTAGACGCGGCCTGCAGCGCGGCCTCAAGACAGATGTGCGCAGCAGGACTCCACTTTGGGGAATGAACGATGGGTGGGGCGAGGACGCAGGAGAGCACGTGGTATGATACACAAATACTCACCGGGGTGGGGGCGGGGGCGGTGAACGCGAGTGGGCAGATGTAGACTCGCAAACCAGTCGGTCGGGATTCTCCTCACCTTTCTCCCGATCGGGGGGATATCTATGTGGCGTGATGGGAACAGCGGAGTTCGAAAGGCAAGGAGAATCCCATACCGACTGGTCAAACTGGTCGCCCGTTTGGCAGGACCGCTCAAAAAGGAAGTCGTACCTGAAGGACTTAGAAAAATCGCGCTTTCAGCACTCTGCAGACATCTTGGTGCGCGGGCGCCTCCCCGTAACTCACCCGCGCGCCATGTCCGCACGCTCTGGTTACTCCTGCGCGCTGCACTGGCATTCACAATCTGTGTAGGTGAGTTGATGCACATGTATATAGGGTGCTAATAGTGCTCCTCAATGTTCACAGACTGTGACGGAAGGCTCTTCCTTGTTGGCAAACGTGACGTCTCTTGCTGCAGCAACGGCGATGACAGTAGTAGATCCACGCTCCCCATTGCTGTCGTTCAAGTACGCACTATCGTCGTGGGTGTTGCGTGAGAACGCGCTTGCGCTGCAGCTCTTCGTACACACCCACGATCTCCCGGTGCTCATCCGACCCTACCTTGTACTCCGTCACCTCCGCGACGACCTTCAAAGCCCCACTGTCCTTCAGGCGCCGCTGCAGCTCCTTGCTCTGCTCGTCCTCCGACATGTCGTACAGGAACGCAGCCGCGATCCCCGTCGCGAGGTTCTCCGTCGGGAGCCCGTACCCACGCGCCATCTCGTACGGGCCCAAGAGCCTGTCCGCGCGCGCGAGCTTCCCGAGCGGCTCGCGCCCGACATGCGCAACTTCGTCATCCCGCACGGGCGCGTTGGCGAAGCGGCCGAAGACACGCTCGACGTACGTGGGGTGCTCGCGCGGGTCGAACCCGTGCTTGCGGACGAGCGCCGCGCTGGCCTCGCGCTTGAGCGCGCCCCGCACGGGCGCGTCCGCGTCCGCGACGGTGGTGTCGATCGTCGCGAGGAGCTTGAGCGCGCCGAGGTGGGCGGCGAGCGCGTGCCCGCGGTTGGGCGTGAAGAGCTGCGCGCAGGACGCACACAAGTCGTCGCGCGGACCTCAGTGGCTCTCATTGACGTGACCAAGAGGCCGCACCCCACTCAAGATCAGCATACCCGCATACTGCGATGACTTTCCTCGGCGGCACCTCGTCATCCTGTCATCCCCATGGCTGGACATCCCCATGGTGCTTATACCCTCAGCCCTCCAGGCGGACACCCGCTCGAATCCAACACTCCACGCACGCCATGTACCATAGCAATGATTTCACTACGATGTACATTGACTGTCCCGAGATTTTCATGCTCAATCCCCACCCGATTCTGCACCCCTTGCCTCCTCCACCCCTTCAAGCAGCCGCCACCAGCGCGTTAGCACCCGGCTCTGACATCGAAAACGGTGATGCAGACCCGCAATTTACTCACAGCTGGTTTAGAATGTACAATTACAACTAGTTACAACAACCTGCACACCGGAGGGAGTGGACTGGAAGGATGTGTACAGGGGAGCTACCGCATCTCCAGAGGCCAAAACGCGCGATTTTTCTAAGTCCTTCAGGTACGACTTCCTTTTTGAGCGGTCCTGCCAAACGGGCGACCAGTTTGACCAGCCGGTCGGTGAACCGACCGCCGAAGGCGTGGCGGAGTTTGAACCGACCGGCTGGATGATCGAGCCTAGGGCAGATGCAGAAGGGCTGGCCGGAATGATTCTGAGGGACCGCGGCTCACTAGAGCTCTGCGTCGGGGAAGGGAGGTCGAAGCGATGGTCTCTGGCTCGAGCTTTATTATTATTATTATTATTATTCTCATTCTATCCCTATGTGTCACATATGTGCGTGTAACTACACAGCTAAGAACGTATCCCGCATTCGTTTGAGTACATGGTCTCTGGCTCGAGCCACCGAAGTCACCTTGCCCTAAACATGGGCACATCACATGACCAATCTGGTAACGGGCGACGGGCGCGTGTCAAGTTGGAACTTGGATGCCTCTCAACGCCGACTACACTCCTGCGCATCCTGCGTAGGGGCGCCGACTTACCTGCCCTCGGAAAACATGACGCATTGGTCTGTGCCTTCCACTCCCATCAGGCATGAGCGCTCATGCACCGACATTGCGTCGTCGACTGCAGAGTCCAGCCGTCGTGTTACCAACACTTCGCTGCTTGTTCACGCCTTTTGCTCAACTCCTACTTATCCCCTCGGACTTTCCAGGTGCCTTTTCCGTCTAGAGACCTTATTATCTCTTTGGTCTTTTGTCATGGAGCGAAGCGGCCGTGGGCACTAGGCAAGGCTTACTCGGACGGTGACAGCACACCATGCAGTTACAGGCTACTTCCAGGCCCCCTGTGCGGTTTGATGTCTGTGGAGCTGCCTTCTAGCCCGTGAGTTGCCACGGAACTAGCGCATGTCCTGGCGTGTGTGGGCGGTCTAAGTCCATCAAACGTTTTCAGCGCTGACCGGTGACCGATGCAGGTCTTCTCACGGCTTCTGCGGTCGGTCCCTCCAACTCCGTGGCACCCGCTTCCATTCACCGCAACTTGCGAGAAACTCGGGCCTTGTGGTGAGGAGTGCAAAAGACACCGCTTTCGACGATGTCACCAGGGCTCAAGATCGATGACCTGACCAGTATATATGAACTGGAGCATCGAACCTGTGCGTGGCCTCCTGTGGCCCTTGCCCTCGCTGACGGGGCCGTCGTGTCACTTCTTGACGCAGGCATGTTGGCAGCACTTCCTGACAGCGCAGACGTTGCATCTCCCATCTGTTTAGGTTCAGTCCCGGGAGGTGGACCAGACTTCTGATACGAAGGATTGCTCGGCGTTCCGGTCTATCCGTCGAGCTTTACTTAAGTCCTAGACACTCGGAGACCTCCACCCTCGAATCTCGGTTGCGCACGTACCACTCCCCTCAGTCACTCTCTACCCGTCTTTCCGGGGGTGCCAAGGCTCACTCTTTCTGCGACAACAAACGTGGTTATCTGACTGTGAGTATCAGTAGCCTTTTCATGCGTTTCTTCGACCCATCCGAGACGTAGATGCGCCTCCTTGAGACCGAAACGGGGAAGTTCGAATGGTTTAGTGAACCCCACCTAGTCCGTTACGCCATACTATCCCACGTGTGGTCCAAGAAGACGGATGCCGATTACACCCCTGAGGAGACATACGCAGACGTTGTCAAGGCGCAATCTACGCATCCCGACGACACACTCTCCCATATCTCCGAGAAGATCCAGAACGCTTGCAGAGTCGCGCTAGGGGACGGCTTCCGATACATCTGGATCGACACTTGCTGCATCGACAAATCCAGCAGCGCCGAGCTTTCCAAAGCCATCAACTCAATGTTCAATTGGTATCGCTGCTCTAAGATTTGTTATGCCTACCTCGACAAGGATTTCAAGGAGCCCTTCCATCCGGACGAAATCCTGAAGTGTGTCTGGTTCAGACGTGGGTGGACCTTACAAGAACTCATCGCCTCTCGCCTCGTCGTCTTCATCTCGAAATCGTGGGGACTCCTCGGCACGAAGCATGGTCTGGCCCCCTACATCGCCAAGGGCACCGGGATCAGCATCGAGGTACTGCGCCATGAACGACAACTCGCTGATGTCAGCGTGGCTGAGCGCATGTACTGGGCTTCCACGCGCACGACGACCGAAATGGAGGACGAAGCGTACTGCCTGATCGGTATCTTCGGGGTGAACATGATGCCCATCTATGGAGAAGGGGCGCACGCATTTGCACGTCTACAGCGCGCCATTCTCGAGCAAATCTCCGACCAGAGCATTTTCGCGTGGGGCCTGCGATCGGGCCTCCCCTTGACTATAAAGCGTCCTGAATCCAATCGCCTCATCCAGCTCCCCGTCCAACTCAGCAACTCCCCCGCATCATCTCTGCTTGCTCCCTCACTCGCGGACTTCCACCTCAAGTCCCCTCTCGAAATCGTCAGCATCGATGAAGACTCTCTAGCGTCCCGGTTGGGGCTCTCCGAGATCCCGCGCTCAGAGTACTCATTCACACCTCACGGGATGCGCGTCTCTTTCCCTATCAGCACCTGCTACGACAAAGACGGCAACGAGCTCCGTTTAGCGTTCTTAGCCTGCCAGGACTCGCAGAAGCAGCTTATGGCCCTCGTCCTCCGCCCCAGCGCCAAGTCGAAGCAGCACAGTATGGACATGTTCGTCGGCACGATACCCCCTTTCCGTGACAGTTTCCAGGTCAACGTGGACGAAAATCATCTCAGCCATACCATCTCCCAAGTCTTCCATGGCTACTACCGTATTGTCAGCATCACCGATGAACAGCTCGCGCCCTTCGTAGCCAATGCTCCACCTCAGGTCAAGCGTATCTACCTCCCCTACACCCTCTCCCCCGACGATCACCTTCTACACCGCGACGCACCCACCCACGAAGCTCTCTTCGCGAACACCCCACCCTCCCCCCTCTCCGTGCAGCTGGCGCACTGGTGCGCTCCGCTCCTGCAGATGCACCACCTGAACATTAGCGCCACTAGCGCCACCACCGGCCATCCGCTGCGCGAGTTCACCCTCACGATCCCGTCCTCCTCCCACGCGAACGACAGGGTGACGTTCAGCATCGGCCACTGCGACTGCCGGAACGGGCGCGACCGCGGTGCGCTCCGCGCGCTCGTTTATGGCCCCCGTTGGTCGCTCGTTCAGCCCGCCGCGCGCGACCAGGACAGCCGCCATGCGAACCTGCAGTCATGCGAGACGGACCACATCACGGCATGGGACATGCGCGACGGGGTCGCGTCGAAGACGTTCGCGCTCACCGCGCGCGACCCCAAGGCGGAGAAGAAGACGTACAGGTTCCGGATGACGCTGGGCCTGCTCGACCCCCTCTACATCATCGGCCGCGCGAAAGAGTTCGTCCTCGACATCGAGGTCCTCCCGGGCGGCGAGAGCAGCGACAACATGACGCCAGGGGAGAGGCTCGTGCCACAGCAAGCCAGTGGCCTTCACGGAGATGGCGAACACCGGCCGCGTCCTGCGCGCGAGACGACGATACTCTATCCGGTGGATGCGATCCAGAACGACACCCCCTCGACGGTGGCCAGTACCACCGACTCGTGGTCCCGCCCAACAGGGCAGGCTTACGAGCGAGATAGTACGTCTGTCGATGGACGTGAACCACCTTATACCGATCATCAAGCGATGCAAAAGCGTGCGTGTGTATATCAGCGAGTGTCGACTCAAGCTCACTCTATCTACAGCGGGCCGGGTGCGCCCATCCTCGCCAGCACGCTCTCATATGGCAGGTTATGGAGGAGATTATCACGCTCAACCAAAGTCTGCACGCGGGTGAGGGATTCTCAAACATTGTATGGACTCCAATGATTGCTCATGAACATTGTGCATGGGCCCGTTGGGCATCAGACCGTCGCAGCTTTTGCGCTTCCAAGCTCCGCAGCAACCCATCGCGTCCACCTCTCAGCATACCTCACAACGAGGCTACGGACGGAGTGATTCGATCCATCATCGCTACGGCGCTACGCAGCACACCCGTCCGACGAGCTCCAACGGGGTCAGGGACGCGAGGCGATCCACGTACGAAACTCAGCCCCGTGTACGCTCCTTGGATTCGCTTAGCCGCGCTCCCTTCCCATATCCAGAGGACCCAGCTGCATACCACAGCAGCCCCGACGTCGCCTACGTGGCCGCAGGGCATCCAGCTAGCTATCCGCCCCGTCATGATCAGCCGAGCCGAATATCCACGTCGTTCAAATCTCAGTTCAGCGACGACATGCCTCGATCCGAAAGCCCCACCTCTGACCGCAACGAGGACGAGTCGACGGGGCACCAGACCCCGCGAGGGCGCCAACCCATCAACATCCCCGCCAGAAATCCCGCTCGAAACGCCGTCGACGGGTTCAGAGACGACGTCCGATACACTGCGCAGTCTCCGACCCATCCACACGGGCCAGCTCGGCGTCGCGACACCAACCTTCCTTCCGCGTACTCTGCCCCCGCTGCAGCTCCGGGGATGAACTATGCGGGGCACTTTTCCGATCGCCCGGCTACTCCCCTCCCCCCCGACAGCCCCAATCTACCCTCACCAGTTTCCGCAAGCCAGTCATCGCACACCGGTATGCTGCAGTATCCGCCCCTTCCGCCCAGCGAGGAGTCCGGGTTCGGGACGGGCGGTTCCCAAATCCAGCACGCTATCCCTCCTCTGATCCAGCCCCCTCTTCCTCCGATCCCTACAGCACTTCCACCGCAATTAAGGACGCAGCCAACAGCGCCAAAGGTGGCGCAAGCGGAGACAGAACCGAAGAAGAAGAAGCGGCTCTCGCGATTGCTCAACATCTTCAAATCGAAGGATTGAATGGAGGGCGGAGGCGTATAAGCACGGCTGGCTTGAAGTGACCTGTAATCTTGCTATAAACGGGTGTATTTTGGTCGGCTTTGCCATCGCGACAATCGCCCGCGTGTATGACTTAGAAAATCACATTCGTGCTTAACAGCGACGGAAGGAAAGTGGATTGTTTTACAAGCGAAAGCCTGGGCAGGGCGCTGGCAGCGGCTACGGCAGCCAGCAGCTTTTCCGTCTCGCTGCGGGCGCATATCAGCGGATGGTGGTGAGACACAGTTCACGAGAACTCTCGGGAGCACACCTTGGTGATATCCGGACGACGGCCTCCGTGCCCTCCTCGGCGATCCAGAGGACGTCGACGTACGTGTGCGATGAGACGAGCCCGAACGACTGTCCGAGCGCTGTCTGGATGGTCCTCCGGAGGGTGATGGCGTCGTTGCAAGGCGGGGCGACGGCGAGCCGGACGTAATTGTGGGCGGGTGGAAGGCGGCGGTGCATGGGATGCAGGTGACAGAGCGCGCTGATCTCCGTTCGAGGACGAAACGCAGGCTGAGAGGATATTGTAACGCGTTGGAACTTGGAGCGATCGGTTTGACTGCCACCCGACGAGAGGAGGGTGTCGAGGAGACGGTCGAAGGAGCGTTTCAACGGACTCGAAGCTCGCCCGGCGGCAGGCCGGCGAAGCCAAATGCGCAATCAGCCAATCAGGGCAGGGTGGTACGGGCGCCTCCCGGCATGATCTCACAGAACCGTCGGACGCACACGCGCTGCGCCCTTTGCTCCTCCTCCATCCCCGCCCGCCCTCTCGCCCCTCTCTCACCCCCGCAGCGACGCCTCGTCCTCTCATATGGCGGCAAACGGCGCCGCATCTGGTGAGCCCGAGCACAAGTGTTGCGGGGTGTCCGCCGAGGAGATCCAAGAGAAGCGCGAGGTCCGCAGGAACAAGCAGCAGCCGTGGATTGTCCTCAAGCTCGCCGTCTTTCTTACCATCGCCATCATAGTGTATACGTGGTATGTGTACGTTGGGAGACTATGCATCCCCATGATTAGGCGTGACGCGGGTGCGCTGGGCAGCCACGGCTTGGGCAGTGAGTTTGGTATCACGCGATGTTGCTCTTCATGTGTCGTGCTAACGGGTATTTTCGGTAAACAGTTGGCTTGCTGGTGGTATTTGTCGTTCTTGGACTGTTTATGATCTGGTCGTATGAAAAGGTGCGTGCTCTCATCCCTGCGCTCGACACACTCCCGCATGCACACCATCTCTACCCGAAACTTCGTGACCTTCCTTCCCAGGAGGTCCGTTCTTTAGGCCTCCCCTGATGCATTCCCCCGTGCATTGACGTAGCCGACTCCCGGACTGACCGAATGCTGTCACAGATTGTCCTTACCCCTCCTGGCTTCGCAAGAGACGTGAGTGCCTTTCTGTGCTTTTCTAGATCACCCACTTACTTTATCATTTCCAGTACGTACAAAAAACTCCCGCGCCAGCAGGTCACGGCGGCTTTCACACTTATTGGGAGTCCGAGAGCGAAGCTGAACTCGCCGCCGCACGCTACGGTCCCCCACAACAATCCGCCCCTCTTCCAACTCCCACGCCGCCCCAGTCTCGACGTTCGGAGTCACACCACAAACGCAGCACTTCCGACTCTGCACCACGGATTCCCGAGAAAGTTCTCAACGGCACCGCGAGCGTACGCCACCATGGCTCACAGAACGGCCATGCGCCCTCGCCCACCAAGGAGAGCTTTGGCACTACGGACAGGCCCCCCGCGGCGGTGGGAGCGCACTCGGCCGTCACGACGGAGAAGGGTCATGGGAACGGACATGCTCAGCCAGCCCCGATTTCGGCGAAGCACACTCGCCGTCCGCCCAAGACGCCGGTGCTTCGCGATGAGTACAGGTATTGCTACAAGGACGGCTTCTTGAAGCCCCATCGCGCACACCATTGTCGTGCCTGCGGAACGGTGAGTGCTATGTATCCTTGGTCAAGCAGGAGTCTGACGTTTATCGGCTGTAGTGTGTACTCAAGTATGATCATCATTGTCCATGGATCGGCCAGTGTGTGGGAGCGCGGAACCATCGGGTAAGCACCTGCTGTGCATATGTGCGCGTTCGAGTTCGTCCTGACGGTCCTGCAGTTCTTCTACATCTTCGACTTCTGGGCCTTCCTCTTCTGTTCCTTCACGTTCGCCTCACTTGTTGGCCTTGTGGGTCAGGCTGCTTCCAACCGACCGGACTTCAGTATTGACGGCCAACACATCGCCATCATTGTGATGTACGCTCTTTCCGCCCCTGACGCGCTCGATTGCCTACTCATGCATCTACCGCTGACACAATTGCGATCATCTAGATCCGGATTTTTCATGATTTTTACCTTCTCCCTCCTCGTTGCCCACGGTATCCTTATTGCCGGCAGCTTCTCGACCGTGGAGCAGATGGCCGTCCAGCGCACCACAGATCGCGAGAAGCGTGTGATGGCACGCCTCCATAGTCGGTGGGCTTTCAGGTGCGTCTGCTTCGCCTTGTTGCCGGCCCGTCACTGACCTCCCGGGTGACCAGCGCGAGAAAAGCGACGAGGAAGCTGTGGGACGCGGAATGGGGGCGACTTGGCAAGGAGGGCCACATGTGGTGGCTGGGTGGTACGCGAAACAACTGGGAGGCGACGATGGGCGACAAGGTCTGGATGTGGTTCTGTGAGTGCTTGCCCGATTGCTGCGTTCTGCATTCTCTTCCAATCACCTCCCTGTACCCTCCTATGCTCTTACTGCCGTGTCGCCGTCAAGTCGCTAACGAGGTTCCTCCCAGTGCCCATCGGCCAGAGTCCAGACGATGGCATGAGCTACGTCGTCAACCCGCGTTTCGACGCCGAGGGCCGCTGGCTCCCTCGCAGCGAATGGCCCGCCGAGCTCCGCTAGCCCTTCGCTACCCCCATTGATCCTCACTGCTTGCGGTCGTAGGTTCTTTCCCCACGCACGTCCCACGACGCGCTACCCCTCCATTCCCACATAGACACCTTATCTCGACGACATCTCGACGACCCCGTCTGAAGATCTGACGCCCGGCGCTTGGCGCACGATCTGCGGCACCCATATGAATACACACGTACTTACATATATATCAACCACCTATTTACCACCCGGACGGTCACGCACCAGGACACCACTGCCCCCGATACGCGCTCTCCCCCCTGCTGTCGCCTCTCTACGTCGTTGCTGTCCGTATCCTCCGAGTCATATTGTAATGCGCCCGAGGGCTTGTTGATGCGCTTGAACGCCTTGCGGCCATGGACGTCGTTTGCCTACAGTCCCAACCAGGGGTGATCACACAAGGACGACAGGAGGTACGTGGGACTCGCAACCGTTGCATTAAAATGGGCGCTGGGATACAAGATGGGCGGTGAGGATGTACAGACAGCAAACACCACTCCCGGTCGCTTTCCACGTTCGCGCCCGCCCGGTCGACGTCTATGGGTCTCTCCGCGTGCTGCGTCTCGTCGAAGAGGACGGAGGTGAGGTGGGCGACGCGGGATGTGGATCCGTGAAGGTCGAGCGACCGTCCTTGAGCGCAAGGGATCTCCGACTCTTCTTAGGCGATCCAGACTGTTGGAAGGGGGCCTCTTCGCGCTCGTCGACAGCAGTGGGAGGAGCGTTGCACATGAGATCGTCAGAGAGGGAGGGGGAAATTCGGAGCCGAGGGTGGTAAGGGGAGCACGAAGGCAGACGAGTCCATGGTCGGCAGGAACGAGCTTGGGCAGAGGAGCAGCTTCAGCGGGCGGCTCCGTGGGCTAGAAAGAGGCGTCGAGATCATCCGCGAAGTCGAGGGAGCCGGGAACTCGGTCGGGAGCGCATGGCGCGTAGGAGATCCGCGACATCGTCGTCGTTGGAGCTGGAAGACATGGACGTTGCCGTAGCCCCGGTGAGCTTGAGAAGACCTCTACGAACGTCGTCTTCGTTCACGGTGTCATCTTCGTCGTCCTCACGAACACCACTCTCCAACTCGTCCGCAGAGGGGGCGGGAGTGGGAAGATTTTGGTCGACGGTCGACTCAGTATCCTCGTCTTCGCCGGAAAACAGCGACCAATCGGCCTCATCGAAGACCGAGACATCTTCAGAGCAGCATCGCCCGTGATTGCTAAGAAGATGCTGCGACGAGCACAACCGCGACGAAGGTCCCGCGTGCGCCGCCGTGGCGTCGCCCAAGAGCCCGAACTTGGTCGTCGCATACATCGGAGCCGAGCCTTGCCCACGACTTGAACCAGGCCTAAGCAGACGGCGATGACGGCGCAAAGAGCTTCAATAGCGAAATCGAGAGCGTGAATGCCCGGACGGTGTGGGGTATGGCGGAGGGGGCGGACTCCGGAGGTGAACATGATATGGCGGAGATGCGTGGGGGATGTGTACATGCGGGAAGGGGTGGGTAAGGCCTGTAAGGTATGGTATGCAGGTGCTCATGCAGGTGCGGTCGGGTAGCCAAGCCTGGGGCAGAGCAGAGATAAATCTGAGGCAGAGATGTTGGCGGTCTGACCGGTTTCTTGGGTTAGTTTGGTTCTGTCATTGGGGCAAACAAGGCCACCTAGCGGTGAGCACCCTGACGTCGCAGAGGATTTGTTTGTGCGAAAGCTATTGATTACCGACTGCAGATGACGAATTGTTGACACGCTCTTCGACAACGCTGAAGGAGTGAGAAGACGCGACGTCATGGGCGGATACAGGCCTGGCATGCACGGCTGGACGGCGCCCGCAAGGACACGCGGCGAGTGGACTCGGTACCACGACTGGTGGTGGCCATACTTGGCCTAAGCTCGAGAACGAGGAGGAGAACGAGGAGACGAAGAGGGACGCCCCCGCGGCGTGCTCGAGGCACAGGCGCCGCTATTCTTGGACGTCATCTTCGAATAGACGACAGTTCACGCCGGCGCAGTCCATCGCTCGACAACGCGTTCGCCGTACATATAGCCCTCATCGCAATGGCCGCCGTCGCTTTCCCTCCTCCCCTCCTCCCTCTCCCCCATGCGTCTCTCCTCCGACCTCCGCCTGACCTCCGCCGCCCTTCTCGTCGCCTCGTCCCAAGCCCTCGCGGCCTCCTTCTCCCTTCTACACGACTACTCTGGCGCAAACTTCTTTGACGGTTGGGATTTCAAAGATGGTTTTGACGACACCACCAACGGTGCGCCCCTTCGACCTCTCATCTTCATCCCCTCCCCTCATTCTCTGTCCATCCTCAGGCGACGTGAACTACCTCGGCCAAAGCCAAGCGTCCAGCTCTGGCCTCGCTGTCATCCAAAACAACCAGGCCATCCTCAAGGTCGACAACTCCACCTTCGTCCCCTTCAACCAGAAACGCAACTCGGTACGCCCCCCTTGCCTACCCTGCTCCGCACCCTCTCACGTGCCCCGCATCCGTGCCTTCCGTACGCACCATAGGTCTTCCTCACCACCCACGAGTTCTTCCAGCTCGGCTCCGTCTTCGTCTTCGATGCCGCCCATATCCCCGCAGGCTGCTCCGTCTGGCCCTCCTTCTGGACCCGCGGGCCTAACTGGCCCAGCGGTGGCGAGATCGACGTCCTCGAGAACGTCAACCTCGCGACCAACAACCAGATGACGCTCCACACCAACCCCGGCTGCACCCAGGCGAGCGGCGTCACCCAACTCGGCAAGACGAGCGGATCGGACTGCTCCCTCGGCGCCAACTCCTCTCAGGGCTGCACCGTAGTCGAGAGTCAGTCCAACAGCTTCGGATCCGGGTTCAACACCGCAGGGGGAGGCGTGTGGGCGACCCAGTTCGATGACTCCGGCATCTTGTGAGTTCTCATACACTGTTACGAGGGCGCATGTTGAACTGTTTCCGACCCCCAGCGTCTGGTTCTGGACTGTGAGTATTTTTGTTCCGCGTCCCAGGACGCGTCTCCTGACGCGTTTTTGTTCTTCCAGCGGGACGCAGTCCCCTCTACCGTTTCAAGCGCGACGGACTCAATCGACCCCTCGACCTTCGGCACGCCCTCCGCCGCCTGGCCATCTTCGAGCTGCAACATTTCGCAGTTCTTCACTCCTCAGCAGCTCGTTCTCGACATCACCCTCTGCGGCGACTTGTGCGTGCCCTCCTACGTCATCTCCCGCGCTCCGACCCAGCGGGAATTCATGTGGCAGAACGCTGACTGCGGATCCCTGACAGCGCCGGCACGCCCTCCGTCTACACCCAGACCTGCGGCTCCCCGGGCGAGCAGGCGAACACGAGCAGCTGCGTACGTGCCCCGCCCGCGTCCGCGTCCCTCCCCGCTCCCAGTCCGCTGACGTCCCCCCGCGCGCGCAGTACGTCGAGAACGTGATCAACAACGGCTCCGCCGCGGACAGCTTCTACGCCGAGGCGTACTTCGCGATCAACTACGTCAAGGTCTTCTCCTCGGGCGCCGCGCCCCTCGACCCCGTCGTCTCCGGCTCGAGCACGCTCGGCCTCACGTCCATCACCGACTCGTTCGCGACCGGCACCGGCACCGCCGCCTCGGGCGCGACCTCGGGCTCGACGAAGGCCGCGGGCAGCGGGGGCAGCGGTGCGGTGCCGCTCCTCGCCCCCGGTGGGTGGGGCGCAGCGATCGCGGCGGTCGTCGGCGCGCTGGGCGTCGCTGCGCTTCTCGGGCCCCTCTGAGCTTCGCGCGCGGACGCACGGACTCGTTTGTGGCCGCAGGAGACCGCCACTGCGATATTACCTGTACCACATCGATTGAAATAGACGTTGACATACATACTCGAGTCGATGCTGCACACTAGTACTTCATACCCTAACCCTTTGCAATGCATGGAATGCAGCGTCTCGAGATTTCATCGGACGAGCGACCGTCCCACAAACCTGTTGATCACGCCGTTGGAGCTCGAAGCTTTGGGGGCTACGCCGTACCGCGAGCTGCCCTTATGCAGATACAATGCGCACAAACGGTGTGTTGTCATACGTCAGAGACAATCTGCTACATATAACACTGCGATCCTCATAGCGTGATTACATGTGTGCATGCACAGCACCAGCACAGACAACATACCATATAGACAGTAACAGCATATGCGTACACACTCCCACCCACAAACACCCCGCCCCCGCGTCCTCACCGGATAAGGCACTTGTCGAACACGCTCTCCCGCTGCTCCGCGCGCTCGCGCGTGCCCCACACCGCCCACATCTTCATCGCCTCCTCGGACGGGCAGATCGTGAACACGCTCGTCCCGTCCGGCGAGAGGCACGCGTGCCCGATCGGGCCCGTGTGCGCGCCGACGGAGAGCACGCGCTTCAGGCTCGGGTACGCGTGCACCGCGAGCGCGTTCGTGTACGACGTGCGCGCCGAGATCGGGCGCTGCCGCCCCCCGCCGCCGCCGCCGCGCCCGCGCGCGTTGGAGCCCGCCCCTGTGGAGCTGGAGCCGGCGCTGGACCCGGGGCCGGAGAAGATGGAGGAGGGGAGGTCGGGGCAGGAGTCGTGCGCGCCGCCGCGGGGGAGCCAGGAGATGCCGTGGGTGGAGAGCAGCTCCTTGCAGTGCGGGGACCAGACGAGGGAGGTCACGGACGTGTTCAGCGCGAGCATGTGCACCGGCGGCGCGGTGCCCAGCGTGCCCTTCGTGTTCCAGACCCGGATCCGGCCGTCGGGGTACATCGTGCCCGTCGCGAGCAGCTCCGGCTTCCACGGGCACCAGGCGAGGGCCTGCCGGGGGAGGTGAGCGTCGGGGAGAGCCCGCGAAACGAAAGCAGACGGAGACGCACCTTGACGGGAGCGCGGTGCTTGAGCTTGCTCCCGAGCCGGCCGTCCGCCGTGAGCGCCTTGCTCGCCCGCGCATCCCACACCTGCACGACCCCCGCGTGGTCCGCGCTCGCGAGGTACATCCCGTCGTCCCGCCACGCCAGCCCGTGCACCTTGTCCCGGTGCAGGTCCAGCCGCGCCACCGGGGCCGCCGCCTCGCTCTCCCGCCGGTCGCGCAGCACGACCGCGCCGTCGCCGAGCCCGTACGCGAGCACGTCCCCCGTCCAGCTCAGGCCGCCCACGTCCGCGTCCTCGCGCTCCGTCCACTTCGCGGTGGCTTCGCCCACGTCCGCGTCCCAGAGGTGGAGCTCGCCCGCGCCGGTGCCCGCCGCGAGCACCTCCGGGCTCTGGCGTGCCCACGCGATGGAGACGAGCCGGCCGCGCGGGCGCGGGGGCAGCTTCAGGAGGTGGGTGATCTTGCGCGTCGAGAGCTCTTGGTAGTAAACGTCTAGTCCACATGCAACGGCGATCGCATTTCGCGCGGACCAGGACATCGGGTAGGCAAACAGGTCTGAGGGGATGCCGGGGCCGTCGAGTGCTAGCACAAACTGGCGACGGGAGCCGAGATTTGAGGCCGCTGACGCGGGGGATAGCGCAGGCTTGGTTTGTGTGAGCTGCCGGAAGTTGAAGCGGTGGCGCTTCAGATGATTTTGGTTCTTCTTGGATGGCTCGGAGTTGGTGTCGGTGTACTGGAGGATGCGGTCGTCGGCGAGCCCGAAGAAGCGTGCGATGCGTTGGGTGCGAGGTGTTGCTTGAAGGGGTACAGCGATTTCTTTGGGAGCTGAGATGAAGCGATCGGACTGGTAGAGCAAAGAGTCAGTGAATGCAATCCGAGCAACAGTGCTGAACCACCCATAATAGCAATGTGGCCCTCCCACCATTACCGACGCAAAAAAAACGAGAACATGGACAACGGGGTTACCGTGTTCCTTCGTTACGGAGGCAGGCTGGAGGATATGACCATGTTCACTGGTTGCCATACCTCCTGTGACAATAGTTTGTCTCCACGAACACAACGCCCCTCAGACCCGTTCGCTCTTTGACATCCAGCCTTTCGAGAGCATACCACTGCAGCTCCCCTCTGTCCATCATTCTTACTCTCCCCAGCCACCATCTCCGCCACCCAGAAATCCCCGAAACGGAAACTCACCACATCCACCTTGGCGTTATACGACGTCTCCGCCTGCAGTCCAATCTCAAATTCCCGCTCTCGCTCGTCAGATAACGACATCCGCCGCCGCTTGGTCGCGGAGAACAGGTTCGGGGTGACCGCGCCCGGGGCACCGCGCTTGCGCGGCGGGAGCGGTGTGCGGCACACGAACGGATTCGCGGGATCGTCCATGATTGGTTTCTGGGTGTCTCTTGCGTTGAGGTGTGAAGGCAGGCGCCAGGTGTTACAGCAGGTTTGAAAGTAGGTGCCAGGTGTTACAGCAGGTTTGATAGCGTCGGTGAGGGGGAGGGGGGAAGGGGTGGTGGTGGTGGTTGGTGGGAGAGAGGCTGCGGGCACGTGGCCTTGTCGCGGCCCCGCAATTCATCCTCCGACGGACATTCCCCAACACCAGTCAGATCTTGGTCAGATCGGGCGCCGTTTGGAGTACATATGAACAATGGGTAAAGGCTTTGCGTCGGTGTTGGCATTCGTGCGTTCTCAGTGCTGTGGGCCACTCCTCAGCTAGTAGTCCGAGCTCACGAGGCTACTCAACGTACGCGACTGCGTGTGGTTCATCCTGGATCCCGATCTGTTATATGGGTACATATCTCGGTCCCAGGCTTATGTGGCGACACCGACACGTTTAAGGGCCGAAAAGGAGCGCACCCGCGGCCCGACGTATCGGACGAGGCAATCAGGCCCTCGCCGTGGCGAGACAAAGCAGTGCTTACAATTTACTACACCGTCCTACAACACGGAGAGCAGGTACATCATCAGGTCGTGACATCGTAAAGTCATTATGAGTCGTCAGCGGTGGGTATCCAGAGCAAGGAAGGGGAGGGGCGCAAGAAATTATGGTATAAATACTCTCCAGCAAGCCTCTCGAAAAATGAACACCGGTCTCGAGCCTGATGACCTCTCATAATGCCGCCGCAAGCACACTCACGGCGAGCGAAGCGACGAGTGCGGACCACGACAGCGAGAGCTGCATGGCACCCCCTGTTGTTGCCGAGGTGGGGGCCGTGGAGGTGGTGGTAGACGAAGGAACCTCGCCGTCTGCGCTTGCGACGCCGCCGAGGAGGGTAGAAGCGAGGGCGCAAACGCTGCGCATGCCGGAGACGATAGAGGGGAGCTCGTTCGCGTCCGCGTCCAAGAACTGCGTCTGATTCGTTTGGATGAAGCTGCGGGGTGTGTCAGTCACGGACAGGCGCAGGATGGAAAGAGGACATACCAATCGACACACTGAGGGTATGCTGAGGGCGACGGAGATTCAGTGAGCAACTCATACAGTGAACCGCTGGACCACATACCACTCTGGAAGGTATCGGTACAGGCGCACTGAATGATGTCAATGAACGCAGACGGGTTGAAGAGGATCTATGAGACCCCATTAGCACCATATCGACGGTCCCGTTCGCGCCGGTGTTTTCCTGCACTCCCCGCTCTTCCCACCGAACGTGCATTCCACCGAGATGAGAGTAGGATGAAACTCACCAGTGTGAAGTTCTCCAGGACGGGCGCAGCTTGCGCGCAGCTGCTGATGCTCGAGTAGCTGGCCTCGCAAATGGGGCACGAAGGGTTATCGCTCGGGAATGTGGGCTGGTCGGTCCTCCGTACAGACTGGGTGCTCACGCCCGGGAACGGGGTCGCCACGGGGAACGGGGACGAGACCACCGAGAGGATGAGGGGGAGGAGAGCAGCGAAGAGCGCGAGGAGCTGGGCGGTGTAGCGGGCCATTTCGATGAGGATTTGGCTTGAACCGGGGAGGAGGGAGCGCGGAGAGTATTCGTGAGGTCGTTACGGCGGCGGACTTGCCCGGGGAGCGACTGGCAGCAGGAGCACTGGAGAACGCGAGCACTCGGGCTGCTAGGGACGGGTAGTCGTGGGAGGGGAGCAAGCTGCTGGGGAGGGCTGGCGGGTGGGACGTGGGCCTATGCATCCTCGGCCGTGATCATGTGGGCCCGCCTTCTCGCGATCACACCTTCTTGCTCTTTCCCGCGTCGCCGACTCGCTCGGCAGCCGCAGGGGGTTTACATAACCGTTCTTCATGCACTTGATCATTTCTTGGAGATGTAGATTGTAGCACTCGAGACACTATACAACACGATCACGGTCCGCGATTACTACTCAGTCCCTTAAGTACTTGAATTTTGATGATGAGTTCTCGACATCTGACAAGGTCATACGGGCTTCCATGTCTCTGGCCGCTCTCCACTTAACACACACGCCAACCACGGTTATCTGTAACTTGTCTATAGTTCGCTCTGTTACTACGAACGATGTCCTGAGCCCCCTCGCCCTCACCCTCAGCCCGCGCGACAGCCGCGCGCTCACGGCCTATGTCCAGCTCGTCTCCGCTATCTGCACCGTCTACAACCTCTCGCGCCCCGCCGGCGTGCTCAGCGCCGGACTCGGCCTCGTCCTCGGGCGGCGCGCAGCCGGGCTCGCGCGCCACGTGGGCGTCGCAATCTAGCACGACGCGTCGCTCGTGCGGGAACCCGTTGCGCGCACGCCGGAGGTTGCGTGGAGGCTCGCGCCCGAGGAGCTGTGCGCGACCCACGTCGCGAGGAGGGAGGTGGTCGTTGGGCGCTTTGCATGTGGGTGCAAGCCGGGTGGAGGTGGCGTTGGGGGAAGGAGAGGAAGGCAGAGGGCGAGAAAGAAGAGGGCGAGAAAGAAGAGGGCGACAAGGAAGAGGGCAAAAAGGAGGAAGGGAAGGAGTCCGGTGAAGATGGGAAGGGGAGGCGCGTTCCGAAGGGGTTCTTGGAGCAGTGGATGGGCGAGGAGACACCCCTGGGCGGGTGGAAGCCGCCGTGAATCTCATCGACCTCTTCAAGCGCGCCGGGAGGTTGGGAAGGTGGAGAGGACTAGCGGCAGGATGAAGAAGGGGCGTTTGCACGTTCGTATACGGTGGGTTGTTTATGGTTGCACCGATACGTCTGAAATCTATTGATCCGTTTGTCGTAAGCGGAGTGTCCATAGGGATACGGCCGGCGAGGCTGGACAAGTGCGATATGTACAATTTTATAGAGTCGCTGCTTGCGCCTGCGCCGTCTTGGGCGGCCCAGGTTCGTTGTCTGTGATCTGAGTCACGCCGGGAGGATGCGCAAGAGACTCTCTAGCGTGCTTCGCGGCGATCAACTCCGCATCTTTCCCTTCCATCGTCGCAATGCATTTTTTGTACTCCGGGTGAGTCATGACGGCCACAGTGTGCTTCCAGCGAGTGTAAGCGTAGTGCAAAACCACCCGAAAGCGATTATCGAGCCGAGCAACTGCCTCCTCGTACGTTAAGAGGAAGGTCTCGTAGTTGACTTCGTCTGGCATCCGTGCACTTGCATCAACAACCTGAATTTAGCATCAGCGCAGGATAGCATGTCAACATCGCATAGACATACCGCGTGGGCATCCACTTGACCCACATACCAAAACGTGAGGTACTCGCCGGCTCTCCTGTTACGACTGGGTCCACGACCTGCCAAGAAATGGAGAGTGCTGATATAGATTGGTTCCGTGCAAGGGACGAGCCCGCGCCTGTCCAAGCGCGAAAGCGGGTCGGGGGCGTTGTGATCCAGCAACAAAGGGAGGAACGACACTTGAAGGCCCGACTGAACGCGTGGATGAGGGCCGCCGCTGCGAGAGAAGAACGAAAGAACGGCATACCTCTTCGTGCCCTTCACGCAGAGCTGCTTGTTCCAAGGTCTCGCCGACATCCTTTCTGCCCTTGGGAAAAAACCATATGTCGAAGACCTTCCCTCGATCGTCAAGGCGTTGCTCACGGAGGATGACGACCTTGCCTGTGGAAGGCTGGATGATGACCATACCTGCACCGAGTACGAAATCTTCCGCGCACCAGAAACTATTGGGGACGGGCACGGTGGAGAGGTCGGAAAGGTATCCCGGTTCTTTAGGCAGTTCCCGTGACGATTTGGCTCTAACGTTCGCCTGGGTTACACCATGAGAAGCGTGGACATGGGTATTCGATGGTTGGACATGGCGAGATGTGCGCTTCTTGTCATCAGGGGTGACGTTGTGCACGGAGATATCTGTCGTGGGCGCGAGTGAAGATGGTGAGGAAGGTGAATTGGACAGGGTTGCTGCCGGCTGAGAATGACGGCGCGAGGAAGACTGGTGAGCCTGGCGGCCCGCGAAGCGCGAGGAGAACCAGCTCATCTCACCAGTCGGGGGTTCCTGGTGGAAGGGCGCTGGCCGGGGAAATGAGCGGAGGGCTTAAGGGCAAGGACGGAGCTACTGGCATGAATCGGAGGCGGGGTCGAGGGGTAAGCTGATAAGATAAGATGGACACAGCTGATCTCTACGTCACGTTGCCGATCATCCCCGCAAGGATTCCTCCCTCAGAAACCCGTATCTCTTCTGCCTCTTCCCCACCGCCATGAGTGCTCTCGCCAACGTTCCTCAGGAGGTGCTCGAGCACATCGCCTACTTCGCCGCCACCGATACATTTCTCGGCCCCCCTGATGGTCTCATCCCTCTGCTCTCCGTTGACCGCCGTACACATGGAGCGCTCTCCATCTCGTCCAACCCCTACCTCTGGTCTCGCATCTTCGCATCGAAGTTCGATCTCACTCCTCCCACCCGTCGCCTCCGTTCCCTTGGCCGCACACTATCCACGCTCGATATCTGCGAAGAGCTCAAGCTACGCTGCTCGCTCCTCAAGGTCATCCGCCGCCGAACCGATGCCCGCGCGACGTCCTACGCGCTCAGCCCGACGCACCGCGACGGCCTCCGCTCCGTGCTTTGGACGGCGTACCTGATGATGCTCGAGAACGAAGGCCGGAACGAGCGCCAGCTCCGGGAGTACGCCGGCTTCGACGTCTGGCTCAAGGAGTTCCTCTTCCACGCCTCGGGCGCGAGCCTCGCCGTCTGGTCCGTCAAGGCGGACCTTTGGCCCCCGAACAATGAGCGCGCGGCGCTCGCGCTGTGGCTTTTTTGGTACATGCTCAAGCCAGGTGAGTAACGACAACCTTCATTTCGGTTCGGAACCATGCGGGGGTAGAGCTCGGATTTTGGTATTCGTGCAGGAGGCTGTGGGCGACAGGCGCTGTGATCGCTCGTCTGACTCGCTGCTGGCCTTCTGTTAAGAGCCCGCAGGGCGTGTGTTTCGTGGAATGTGGCGCTCCATGAGAATGAGGCGCAGGTTAAACTCCAAGAAAGACAACGACGCCGCTCCTGGATAGATTGGCGAACGTCGTTGTGGCCTTACTGTGGCCAAGCTTATCGCGACATGCTCTTCTTCGCCCCCATGGAAACGCGTTGCAAGCCGAGATTCTCGAGCTCTCATGAGTCGCATGACAAGTCTTGGTTACAGCTTCGGAAGCGCTCTTGACATGCCGGCATTATTTCCGAGGCTGCAACCTAAAGTTAATGAACTCGCGAATGCTGACTGGCTTCTTAGAGGAGTACACGAGGAGTGACTCGTCCACCTTTCTTGAAGCAACCAACATACTCAAGCTCTATGCTCTCGGTGCTCACCAGGTGACTACACACATATATCACACACTTCGTGAACGTCAAAGTCAACTAATAGCACCAGTATGCGCTCTCCACTCCCCCATGGAATGAATTTACGCCCCCATGTCGGACTCGCGGCGCGTCCGCGATCAAGCATTTCGGCGTGTCGCTCAAGATGTCGCCGCCGGCACCCGCCTCGCCTGCGATACTCGCTTACCTCACCCTCGCCCACAAACTATCCGCCACCTACGACACCATGCGATACCACAAGCCGCCATCAACGACGCCTCCCGGGCTCGCCGCCGCGCCGTCGAGCGTGGAGTGGGACGCGGAGTGGGCCCGCGGTCTGCACATCGCGGACACCTCCAAGCCGCTCGGCGCCCTCTTCTCGGGTGCATTCATCCCGGGGAGCCTCGAAGGCGTTTGGGAGGGCATGTTTACGGTACGTGGCGCTGCCGACAATCGCGGGTTGTGGATCGCTGACGCTGACGGGGCGCCCCGCGCACGCAGTACACTGAGTTTACAGCCTACTCCGCGCTGCTCTCCGGCGCGGCGCCGACTGTCCTGCAGCGCAGCGCGATCGCACACCACCCGCACCTGTGGCGGCTGCGCGAGCACCACCTCTATGCGCCCGCGCCGGACGATGGTGTGGACGACGACGGTGGCGGCGCGACGGTGGTCTCACCTGGCCCGGAGGTGTGGCCGGTCGCGCCCGGGAACCCGCTGCGTGCGCACATTCCGCACGAGTGCCAGATGGCGGAGACGTCGGACGGCCTGCTTATCAGGGAGCAGGGGCTCGCGGAGTCGGTGTTGTACCACAGCTGGGCAAGCGTGCAGAAGGCGAAGGAGCAGGACAGGCCCCGCGGGCGACTCGTCGACATCTTCGTCACGGGCGAGGTGCGTGCTCTGTCCTCCGCCACAGTCCACTTCTCCCTCCCGTAGGGTCATCCGCTGACGGGGCGACCGACAGGGCCACTCGGCCTGGGGCCAGTTCAACCTCGTCGGGCGCATCCGACCGTGCGACGGCTTCATCAGCCTCTCCAAGGAATACGTGAGCCCCACGCCTCGTGCTCACCCCGTCTTCCCGTTCTGACAGTCTGTGGCTGCCCGCAGGTCGACGGCGACCGCGGTCAATGGCTTTACCGCGGCTACATGGTCGGGAACGCTGAGGGCAGCCTCTCGGGACGCTGGCGCGATACGCTCAGCCCGCCCGAAATGCCGGGCTACGAGGGCTGCTTTGTGATGAGCCGCCGCAAGTGAGGTGGAGAGGCTCTTGGGGCACGCGGTGGGTTCTGGGGTTGTTCTATCGCTCTTCCCGCTCGAGGTGTTCCGTACATTGAGTGACTGCGTGTCAGGTCCTCGATTCCGTGCTGTAGTTGTATGTATTATTTGCTTGCTTTACTCACGTTGGGTGTTTCTCTCTCACTGCTTAGTGCTCCAGATGATCCCTGTATGCTCGCTGATTGGCTTTCGGACTGGCGTAATATATAATGCTTTGCTGGACAAGCAACTGTATAATTGGAACGGGACAAAGCGAGCGAAAACATCGCCAAGGCTTTCATAGCTTTATCCAGACTCCAAGCATCTCGCGATTAGTGCACACTCCGTGGTGGCGTGAACCAAGTTTCCATTTGTCACAACCTTCAGATTGATATCTGCTGTGAATGAAGCTTGAGAGCCGTTGCAAGCGCTCTTCTTATCGCTGTCCTCGTGCTGGTGGTCTGTAATCTGACGATGGTGTAAATGAATTCGCATTCATCTCGTTGCAAGAAACTACACGCTCAGCTTTTCATTCCACTGCTGGACACATTGGCGGTACGTACATGCAAACCGAGGCGGGGTGCGCTTCCTATGACGTTACTACCTCGTCGCAAATGTCCGTTCATGTATACTCGCCCGTGACGCTAGCGGCCAATACTCGCCAAATGTTTGACCGGTCCATGATCGCGTGCGATGGCGAGCAACGATAGAAGTCCTTCTCTATATCGTATAAAGTGCGGCACCATCAAGTGTTGCCTGCTCGACCCCAAGCCGGCTGCAGTTTAGTCAGATCGAAAGTGATGACCGGTCATCGGGAATGCCTAAGGATATAAAGCCAGTCGTCGTATGGACCGTCAATTATTCTCAGCCAAATAGTCATCACCTCCCATCACTTAGCCAACGACCAATACCTCCACCATGGCCGTTCCTACCACGATGAAAGAGTACCGAATCGTGAAGGCTCGTCTGCTCGCGCCGCCGCGTCGCGGGTACGCATTCTTACCGATGGTTTGATTGCACGCGACAGGCGGACGGCTTGAACAAGCTTTCCTTAACCTCGTCCCCGGTCCCCCAGCTGAAAGCTACTGAGGTGCTCGTCAAGATCCATGCGGTGTCGTTGAACGTACACACCTCATTTCTACGCCTTGTACTACTTTGTATTCCGTGCTGATACTTCATCGTCAGTATCGCGACTTGCTGACGGTAGACGGAAATTCCCTCTCCGCCACGAAGAAATACATCATCCCCGGTTCCGACACGGCCGGGGAGATCGTGGCCCTCGGCGCTGAAGTGGCCGGATGGACTGCCGGTGAGCGTGTCTGCGCCAACTTCACCTCCGACCACATCTTCGGCGAGGCGAACAACGTCATCATCAAAAGCGTCCTCAGTGGCGGCGTCGACGGCGTGCTGATGGAGTATAGGGCCCTGCCTGCGCATGTAAACAATGCTGTCTCAGAAACTGCAGACGCACTGCTAACCACGTACCGTCCTTGCACTAACAGTCCCTTGTGAGGATCCCGGAGCACCTGAGCTACGAGGAGGGGTCGACGCTCCCCTGCGCTGCCGTCACCGCGTACAACTGTCTCATGGGCTCGAGCCCGATCAAGGGTGGCGACGTCGTGCTCGTCCAGGGCACTGGGGGCGTCTCCATCTTCGGGCTCCAGCTCGCGGTCGCGTCGGGCGCGGTGGTGATCGCAACCTCGTCGTCGGACGAGAAACTCAAGGTCGCGAAAACGTCGGGGGCCGTGCACCTCATCAACTACAAGACGACGCCGGACTGGGACGCGGAGGTGATGAAGGTCACGGGCGGAGAAGGTGTGAAGCACGCCATCGACGTTGGGGGCAACGATACCGTGCTGAAGTCGCTGAACTGCACTGCCTGGGGAGGGGTCGTGAATCTGGTTGGGATTTTAGGCGTGAGTGGCTGTTCGTTTTGTGGTGACGAGGGCCCGGGTGACAACATTGACCGTCTGTTGATTTGCAGGAGGGGGGGGCTGAGGAGTCGCCATTCAGGGTTCCTAGGAAGAGTGTCTCTGTATGACAGATAACGATTGGCTCGCGCACACAGTACGTCCATTTGTGGAGGCTACGCACGTATGGACTTACTTATATGGTTTGATACCTGTAGGTTCGAAGACATGAACCGGTTGATCAGCGCCGCGAAAATCAAGCCCCTCGTCGACAAGGTGTTCGACTTCGAGCACGTAGCGGATGCTTACGATCATCCGCGCAGCCAGAAGCATGTCGGGAAAGTGGTGATCAAGGTGTCGGCCTGAGCCGAGACCGCGGAAGAGGATACTAAGCTTAAGAGAGGATCGAGAAGCGCTCGCTCGGAGCCGAGCGCCGACTCTGTAGTAGGGGAGCCCAAATTCGCGCGACCACACTGTACTTATCACCACTCGGAATTTGAAACATCTGTCATCCCTTGACACTAGGACCCTACGAAAACATTCTCGTGTGTATGTCCTTCACGCGGAATTTTTATCTTATCTCCTCGGCTTTCGACCCCTCGAAGGCGGATCTAATACGCGCCCAAGGTCGTGACATAATCTAAGCGCGATCATATCCACGTGCCATTGTTGAGTCCACACCGTGTCTCGAGCTAGGCTCGATCATCCATCCCCTTTTCGTTGTACCTCCTCAAGGGGCTGGTCCAACTCGAGGGGTTTTTGGCAGGCGCACCATAAAAGGCAATCACGTGATGTGAGTGCCCTCCCCTCGCTCCACTCCCCCGCCCAAACGGGCTCGTTGGGGCACGCCGCTCCCCCGTGCGCGACGGCTTGTGACGGCGGTCGCGTCGGGAGGCGTCACGGAGGGCGCGCGACCGGTCGCGCGCGCGCGCGCGGCTCGTGCTCCCGCGTCGTCGGCCAGCGCACAGTCCCGCGCGGCTCAAGCGGATGAAGGGGAAGGTGTTGCACGTATATACACTCATGCAATAGCACTGTATCCTGAAGCTGAGCGTGTGTATTACAAACAGAACACGTGCCTAAAGTCACCATCTACCGACACTTGGAGGTGGAAGCGGAGGAAGCAGAGCAGCTGAAGAAGAGCGAGGTGTGGGCGGCGGAAGCATAGCGGCCGATGAGGAGCGGGGTGCAGATATCGGACGAGAGACGGCTGACTGTGAGATGACTGTGTGGGCATGAGGCCGAGGATGACCCAAATGTTGTTGGGCGGGAGAAGCGCCAACGCGGTGGCGTGCAAACATTGATACGGGAGTTGTGGTACGAGAGGTCGTGTGCTGAGAACGTAGTGATGCAGGGAGTGTCCGTACAAGATGATGGTTCAGAGTAGACGATCGAAGAGCAGAGATGTGTGGCGAGGATAGGACAGATAGGCTAGAATGCGGCAGCAGTGCACCGATATTTTGAGGAGGTGGAATAAGAGCTGTAGCAGCCGGAAGCGGGGCAGATGGAACTTGATGTTGTGCAAAGAGCAAACGAAGAGAATCTGGAGACGGTACCCTTGGCGAGTCGCCAGGCAAGGGAGGTCTTGATGGACGGTGTATGCCGAGTTTGTACTCCGCATATGCTTGCTCTTGCACGAAAGGTGCACAGGGGTGGGGTGCTTGAACCCGGAACTTCTTGCGAGGACGAGGACGAGGTTTTGGAGGTGGTGTATGAGAGAGGGAGGTTTGCGTACAAAGAGGAAGAGGTGGCTGTTGGGGTTGCACATGCTGCGGCAACGGCGGAGTGCTGACTTGGGGGCTCGGCACACCTAACGCAGCCGTCTCGGACTTGATGAGCTTGCGACGAGACTTGGTGGGCTGGCGGCGAGGCTTGGTGTCCTGAGGAGGTCTGAAGTCAAGCAAGACGCACATGCTGCCATAGACAGGAGGATCAGAGAGAGCAGGTACGATAGGAGCGACAGTGGTCGTGTGGAGGGTATGGTGGTGGGGATCAACCAGAGAGTCGTCGTCCGGCGCTCTCGGGCGCTTCGCCTGACCCACTGGAGAAGTGCTGCGAGCGCGCTTCTCCGACCCCTTGGCTGTCTGCTTTTCAGCTGTCTCGGGAGGCGAGACAAGTGAAATCTTCTCCAAGAACGCCATCAGCTCAGTCCCGTACAGATCCCAGTTGGTCCACTGAGTTCGAAGCATGTGCGACACTTTTTCTGCGGGTAGACACCCGTGAGACACGAGTTGCTCGATAGTTTTGCTGTTGAGGACCGCGGCCGGGCTCAAGACGGATGTTGGTGTATCACGTTGGTGAACCTCGGAGCGCCATGCAATGAGTTTCCGCTGAGCCGCACGATCAGGTGTGCCTTTCTTCGGCATGCGAGACTGCTTTTCAGCTTTCACAGGGGGCGATGGACGAGCTTGATCTAGAAGTGATGGGTCACATATGTCACAGCAGGGTACCGTCAGCTCTGATGAAAGCAACAGCTGAGACTCAGTTGCGCATTGGAGCCGGAGAGATCAGGAACTCACTGCCGGAGTCAACAGTGCTATCAAAGATCTCCGCTATGATCTGGCGCCGACAGGTGAGACTCTGGATGAAAACTAGAAGGCCCTCGTCGTCACTGTCAAGATCCAGTGTTGGCTGCGAGCCCACAGGAACAGTGTCTTCCTTCGTGGAGCTCCCTCGATCTACACCATGCTCGCGAGCGTAGATCTGTGTGAGTTTCGGGTCCTTCTTGGGCTTTGGGTTAGCCGAGACGAGATCAACGTTGTACCACTTCCGCTCGACGAGCATGATGGCAACTCCACGAAGCCCGGCACCCCGGACAGCACGGCCGAACCTCTGTGCTACTTGGGAGAGCTTCTTTGGTTTCTTGAGTTGAATTGTGCGAATGACTTTTGGGTTGTTGCTACCCTACCCCGGGGCAAGACTAAGCATGAGCTCGAGGGACGGAAGAGCACGAGGGTTGAGATCTCACCATTCCCGCAGCTTCGGTGCATACAAGGATTCGGATGTTGCCTTCCCGGAACTCCGGCATCGCTGCGGTACGGTATTCCTGAGAGAGTTGCGCGTTGAATGGCCGAACACACTCCAGGAGTGTGTAACTGTCTAGATCCAGCACGGCAAGTGTGTCCGAAGAGGCGCCGAGGATACGACAAAGCCTCTCGTTCAGATGGTCTACAACCCTGGATCCAAGCTCTACGTCGTCGGCAAAGATCTGGGTGATGGGAATGTCTAATGGGGAGGTGATGGTATCAGGGACAATGAAATCGATGTCAAGTAGACTGCTCAGGGGGTATTCTAGAGCGCGCACGATAATGGATATGTTCGGGCGATCGTTGCCCTCGTTCTTCCAGCGAGATTGACGGGATGACTGCCCAAAAAGCAGAGATGTTTGAATCGCTCTCTTGACGCGGGGAGTGATGGTCGCAGAGACAGCCATAACGGGAGTATCACGAGGGAGGAAAGCACGGATCTTGCCCAATGTGCCATACTCTTTGCGAAAGTCGGCGCCCCAGTGGACGGTGCAGTGTGCTTCATCGACAAAGATTGACACAACATTACGAGTAAATCTGCGATTGCGTAGGAAAGTATCAACGAAGGTCTGTGACAGAAGCATCTCGGGTGAGATGAGTACGATCTGGTGTCGCATATCAAAGATCGCCTAGATGGGGCAAGCTCAGCCATTGCATTGAATGATCACGAAGGAAACACACCTGGATAACAGCGGGATCAGTGCAGGCTTTATTTTCGCCATTGATTGCAACTGCCGAGAGACCGTAGTCGGACTTGAATGTGCGTACCTGGTACAGAACGAGGTCAGAAAATGCGCAGAGAAATCTGGATAAACCCTACCATCTCATTCTCTAAAGTGAGCAATGGGCATATCATCAACGTCACTCGGTGATCAAGCCAGACGTGAGGTCCAGCAGCGATTGCTGTCTTTCCTGCACCGGTGGGGGCTTGAATCACCATGTTGGCGCCTTCAAGTTGGGCCCGGATGGCGTCAAGTTGGAACTCTTTTGGATCATTCTGCCATTTGAACTTGTCACGCAAGAGTAGAGACAATTTTTGAACCTCAGAACCTGAGAGAGGATGACGAGAAATGAAATCGACCAAAGGCTCTGTTGGTGAGGCGGCATAATGGGAGTAGGAATGGCGAGGCATGGGCAAGCTGTGTGCCGCGTGAGTCCTGCACACGATCTGTGATCACTTTGCGTACAGAGGAGTCAGGACACGTTGGCGCACGACACAGACTGTGCAGAGGACACGACATTGACTCGTCACGGAGTGTGTGGTGGGGGAGTTGTCGTAGAGCGTGAGGTGGGCAGCGCGTCGTTGTGGCACGCTGTGAGGAGGGCAGCACGTTGTCGTGGCACGTGAGGAGGGCGGCATGTCGTCGTGGCGTGTGAGGAGGGCAGTGTGTCGTCGTGGTGCGTGCGGAGGTCGCAGCATCCACCTCGGCCCTCGACTACGAAATGACTGAGACTGTATACAATATGGGCCACCTGTCCAACGATATCCTGAGAAGAGCGCCTATGACACCGCTACAGCGTTTCAGTAATACCGACCAGACTCAGCGGCCCCCCACCATGACGACATTTGGTATATACTGCGTGTGGTACATGCATTGGGGAGAAAGTTGATTAACCAATGTTACAGTCGGCAAGCTAGCAGATTGGGCAAAGGATGTACGCACAGAGCAGCCAGCAGCATCGTCATCCACTTTGCAGACAACAGGTAGGTGATCTTCCTCGGGGTCTGGTCCTTCTCTTAACGCTAAAAACAATGCAGAGTATGTGAATGATGAACACACCTCAGGTACGGTATGGAACGCGTGTGCCGACCAGCCACCACCGCGCATACAGCCAGCCCGGTACCCCGGTATAGCCAACAGCCCATGGCGCCATAGGCCTCTCCCTCAAGTTGATGGTGTACCCGCCCCAGGAATGTCTTTCATATTGAAGGGATGAGACCGATAGACTGACGGTGTGGCAGGCGAATCCATTGTCGGGTCGGAAGATCCAAGACACCGTCAAAGCGAGACCCTGACCCGTCGATATGAACGTCAGGGTGTCATTCTTGATACACGTCTTCAGGAGAGTCTTCGAGCTGAAGAAGCAAGTACTGAAGACGCTGCCACTAGGGAGGTGAAGTGTTACGCTGACGTCCTCAACACACTGAAGAAACAAGGGCTTACCTGGGGTGGCTTCGTCAAGTGGATATCAAGCACAAGCTCCGATTGTGGACGAGACCGCTGGGAAGGTTTGTTCGCACACCCGCAGAATGTTAGGGAGATCTTGGACCTGTGGGCAAGTCAGCCATCCAACACCAGCAAGCAGACAGTGCGCGACTGGGCCTTCGACACGGTTTCACAA